GTATATAGGTACCTATTATTAAAAACGTAAAAGGTAAAGATAGCATTTGTTTTAAAATTCATTGCAATGAATAATTGGAATGAGACCAACTTGATGCTCGACTTGATTAACAGAGGTATAAACTGGAAAATACTTAAAGGCAATTTCCTTCACATTCCACATTTTAAGATTTGATAAATTGCTACCTAAGTAGATTCCATATTCAGATGAATTACATGGCCTGTGATAGAGATTTTCTAAATTACGATATTTCTTCCCAATTAAAACCAATCCTCCATCAATACCAGTTACGAAATTTTTAATTTGAACCACCGTTCCATCCAACAGTGCACAATAATTATCACCTTCTTTTAATTTTAATACATAATTTTCACACAACAGTTTTTTATACTGTGGGCAAGAAGTTCCCGGTAATAATGGACCATCATTATGCTCATTATAAGCGACCTTTTTTGGTTTTTCTTGTGGAAGTGTATCACTTGTAGCTGAATTTAATTCTGTCATCCGTTTAACAATTTGTGACAAAGGTTTATCTTGCTTGTGCAAATGTTTTTTTATTTTTTGCATGTAATTCTCAAAAGGGAATGCACTGAAATTATGTAATGGACCAAATCTTGCAACATCATCAACTATATGTAGTAAATTGTGTACATTATGAGAAACGTGTTGTTTTCCGTATAAAGTCACATACGTCTGCACAAAATATACTAGCAAAGAACGAGCATAATCAAGATCTACAGCGATGTACCTTTTTGTCGATAAAATTGTTACAGCTACATGTAGGCATAGAAAATTTAAATACATGTCCCTACTAACAATATCTTTTAATAATACAGGCCCTGTATACAAAAGAAACTGTCTAAACTCAGTCGCTTTCCATCTTTTAAGTTCTTCAAGAGATCGAGATTTTCGTACAAACTCACATGGAACATTGCTAGAGTTGTTTACTAGGGCAGCAGATAATGTTTTAGTATCTCTTGAAGACATTTTAGAGGGAGGTTTAGCAGCTCCTGTCCAAAGAATAAGTAATTTACGCATAACCCCAAGACAAATTAAATGCATGTAATCTAGGGGGATGTCTTGTATCATATCAAAATCTGGTATTTCTTCCAAGATTGAAGTGTTTGCATGGTGTTCAGGATCAGATTTAGAAATAAAGTCATGATGTGTACGAAGTTGAATATCACGTTCAGGGGGGAAACAGACTCTATTATTGTGGTATATCCCTCGAATGTTACATTTAGAACAGGAACTATAACCTGTGTGCCCAACAGTACCAGTGCAAAATGATTTAGCGGGAACATCAAAAATTAATGCTTTAATCTTAAAATTGTAGAAGTGGCCATTATTAATGAAACCGTTGTTCGTTAAATACACTACTTCATTCACAAATTTTCTAAGATAGCAGTTAGCGGTATCAGGCTTTGCGTTTCCATGATAAAGTCCAATTGTTTCAACGTGTTGAGGATTTTGAACAAGAGAGCACAGTATTGGATATAACTGGCTAGAAGAACTTTTTGATATCGGCAAGCCATCAACATTTACATAAATTTCAACTAATTTTAAAGAATGGGAAAGTTTGTACTTTGCAAGAAGTCTTTCTATACAATTTAACAAACCGAAATGATAATACTCCCCTGGATTAACCAATTCTTTTAACACACATCTAGGAGTTTTCAATAATGTCCTACCGTCTGATGGCAAATTATTGTAATCGCCACCATTTTTAAAGATTTTTAAAATATCTGATAAAGCCGACAAAGTAATGTTGTGTTTGAATACCCATTCACTTATTTGTGAATTCAAATCGATTGGCTTATTACCCATCTCCACTTTAGTAGAGTCGTGGTCATCGGCGTCGTTATCAAAATGCCTCGATTCATCTTCGGATGTAGCAGAATCAGATGAATAATCTGAGTTGAACAATGAAGAAGTAGATGTGTTCACATCAATAACTGATTCTTGGTAGACACATTGATTTGTTATCAATAATTGCATATGATCTGAACCGTCGTCTTCAATTAATGATCTATGAGGTATTTCGGTATTTTTTTTTACATCTGAATTATTACAAGTAGATGAAGTAGAAGATGAGGCCATGTATATTGAAACATCGACCATGTCTCTCGCTTTTCTGTACGTTTTTTGTAAAATTTTCGGCATAATGCAATTTCCCGGTATATAATATTGAGGTTATGTCAAATTGCCACACAAACAAATAATTATTAAGATGTGCGTAGCATACGTTTAGTGATTAAATAAATAAAACGTTCTTACCTTTAATAGGAAAACCAAATGTTTACTGCACTATACACAATAAATCTAAAATTTTGCTTTTTGGCGGAAAACTGTTATTTATAGCAACACGCGATCTATCTGTATGTAGTCTATACAAGATGCGATGCGCATGCGGATCGGCCCGATCGGCGTCGCGTGGACGTGACGTCACCAGTATGGGAAATTTGAAATCAACAGTACTATTTTCTAATACGAAAATCGATATTTTTTTAGTGCCATGCTTTGACACACAATAAACAGAAATTATATTACGTATGTCATATGTCACATTATTATATAAAATAGTATGTCCACTGGAGTTATATCCAGTGGATATTCAATGAATCTTTCGTCAAAGTAATAACATGGAAGGATAACCAGTGGACATACATCCGCATTTGTCCATAGGAATTACAATAAAGTATATTCAATGAATGTCCGTCTGATATCCATGGACATACTGGATGTATCATGGGAACAAAATGGATATCCAATGGACATCGTGTGCTATATGGGGCAATTATTTGTCGATTTGAGTAAAGCATTTGATTGTGTGAATCACCACATTTTACCTAACAAAATGGAACATTATGGTCTGAGAAGAAATTTCAGAAAGCTAATAGAAAGTTATTTAGCTGTAAGGAAACAATCTGTACAATATTTAAACTCTTAAGTCTGAGGAATCTCGAGTAAGCATGGGGGTGCCACAGGGAAGTATCTTGGGTCCCTTACTGTTTTTACTATATTGTAATGATCTAGACTACTTTAAATCATCCTTTCATACTGCATTTGCAGACGATATAACGTTGATAGTATCCAGTAAATACTATGACGATATGGTTGATGCGCTAAGATTAAATTTGCAGTTTAAATGATTCAATGAAAACAATCTAGTTCTTATCAAACTAAAACTCAGTCTCAGTCAATCTATCTTTATGTCAAATTAAATAGTACAGCTATACAACAAGTAACCTCGACTAAATTGCTTGGTTTACACTTAGACTTGTCGTTAAATTGGAAAACACATGTTGACAACATTAATTGTAAAACCAGTGCCCAAAACTGCTATATACGCCTAAAGCAGATTTCAAGTACAACCGTAATGAAAGCTTTTTACCACGCCAATTTCGAATCCAAAACAAAATACGCCATTGAATGCTGGGGAGGTTCATCTGCTGCAAGAAAAGTATTTCTTATACAGAAAAAAGCAATAAGGATGTTGTTTGGACTCAAATTAAGACAATCGTGCAGAACCAGATTTATTAAAGGATATCTATTGACATTTCCCTCAATATATATCTACGAACTTTTAAAATTTGTTAATGTGAATATTGAAGATTTTCAAAGTTTCAACCATTCGTATTCTACGAGATTTGAAAGCAATTTGTTATTAAATTCTCACAGAAAAGAACTCTTTACATCAAATCCGTACTACATTGGAGGTAGTTTATTCAATAAATTACCACAACAGTATAAAGCTTTATCACAACATAATTTTAATTATAAAACTAAACATTTACTAATTCAAAATACGTTTTACCTTTGAATAAAATTTATATTCAAAGGTTTTACTCAATAGAAGTATACATGGAGTAGGTATATATTTTAAGTATTTACATTCCTACTAGGTGGTATAGTTAGGGTTTATTTGGTTGACATGCCTTATATTACACAATTGTAATCGAATAAAGTAATAAATAAATATAATAATAAATAAAATCTCAAGAATAATGATTCTTTAACTGGGAAAAGGAATTTTTCCAGAAGAACTCAAAGTGTCCGTTACGCGACCAATACTTAAGAAGGCAGATGCCAACGCGTCCTATATCCATATTACCAGTATATAGTAGAGAAGATTTTCGAAGGATATGTAGTGACCCATCTACGAAAATATATAGAAGATAACCAGTGAGGTAGTACAATACGGGTTTCAGCGAGGAAAAAGCACCGTTCATTTATTAAGCAAATTTAGTGAACATATAAATACTATAATACTATAATGGTAAATATACGGCAGCTGGGTTTATAGACTTCGGAAAGGCATTCGACATGTCAACCATTTAATACTGTTAAAATATATGGAAAGATACAGACAATGAAGTAGGTCATTTAAAATCATGTCAATTCGTGGTACCACAGGGCAGTAATATTGGACCGTTTATGGTAACGATCTATCCCAAGTCGTAAAGAAACTGCAAACTTTACATGTATGCCGACGATGCAGTACTCCTCTATAGCATTGAATAAACTCAATTTTTTATTCAATGTCTATAGTGACAGTATGTAGATATAAACAAATGTGAAAAAGTGATACAAAGTGATATCAATAGGTAATATGCTTATGTGGGTACACGATAGAAATCTATATATCAATCAAACAAAACCAGTGACCATGACATTTCGTACCGCGAACACTTAGCGAGCCCAAAACAGATCCCTGGGATACTCTCGATGTTATTGTTGATGAGACACATTCGTCCACCTGTTGCCACCTACCTTCAAGAATACTTTATATGAGGTCGGCACGGCAGTATGATTACTGAAACCGATGTGCTAATAAGAAGATACTACACTTTGATCTTAGCCATAGGCCGAGAAGCGATCTTGATTTACTGTATCGAAAGCCTTAGAAAAGTCAAGAAGCACTAGCGCCAAACAATTTCCACGATCTACTGAAGTGAATATCGGCATTCGGCAACATTTAACAATGCAGTAGTGAAACTGTAACCAGCTCTAAAAGCAAATTGAGTAGCCGAGTAAAAAAGACTCTTATCATGAAGTATTCATCTATCTGCGCAGTCGTGAGCTTTTCCAAGGCAGGTAGGATACTTATTGCGGTCTCAAATCATTGAATTGAAGGTTCTTAAACAACTGTTCATTACTACGTCAAATAAAGCAATATAGACGACAAAGATTTAGCAGTTTTATGGAGATTCCATCATTACCAGTCAATTTGGAGTTGATTGATTGGATACACCAAAGCGCTTCCTCTTCGGTATAACCTTCTAGAAACTAGCTTTCCGAAAATAGTACATATTTTATAACTTTATTAACACATTGTACGTCTAATTTGGAAAAGTCAGTATTCATCCGATCCACATCACTGAGATCCGCCGGAATTGTGACTACCTCCATTTTATTATAAATGCCCATATTGTATTAAGATGCTTACAGGTTTGGTACCTAACTGTCATTTCGTACACAAAAATCAAAATACGCTACTATTTTTAGGGCATTTTCCAACTGTCTACTTTATTATTTATAGAGATTTTTTATTGAAATTTGCACCACAGATGCGTCCAGCAAAGACATAAGCATATCGCATATTGTCAAAATCAGATGTGCGCATGCGCAAACTGTACAATGTTAACTTTCTTATTATGGGAATATTTTTTTAAAATTTTACTCAAAGATTCTCCTAATGAAGGCAAACATATCGCACATTTTGAACATCATGTGCAGATTGCGCAATGCCAAGTTTGATATTTATAAGAATATTTGTGCCATAATTTACTTTCCTTTGTACAGACACATAAATAGATCGTTATATGATCTTTCTGGTAGTACTAATAAATTCATGGAGAATGCGCTAAAGTTAATCGCCTTAAGACTAAAACCTTTTTTAGCGCATTTTTGCAAATTTATTTGTAAAAAGTAGCTTTTATTCTCACTTTGGCTGGCTGGTTGGCTGGCTGGCTGGCTGGCTGGCTGCAAATGTGGGCGCGTAGAAGAACTCTTGTAGAAAGGCAACGGGTGTACATGTATCTACAAGGCCGTGAAATTTGTCAACCTTAGGGACATGGCTACATGATGTGGGGTTGGCGACATCTGGGCGTCATCCTCGAGCGTAGTATACTAACATGAAGGTTTTTCAGTTTTTTCCTATCTTCTACTACAGTTTTGGTCCGATTCTTTTCAAATTGGTGTCGTCGGAAAGATGTTGTAAACGCGCACAATTCCTGCGTGGCGGAATTTTGTTTTTTGTCCTAGGGGCGAAATTAACGACCTTTTGCGAGGCGCGCGCGCGTCTGCGAGAAGTAGTTAACTTCGGGCGCCTTTTACCTTCCGTTGCGAACTCACGCGGTTTAACGTTTCGTAAATCTCGAATCGCTGTCTCTCTTTCTCGTGTCACCAATTGAAGCGAATTGCGGGTGACCGGGACGTCGGAAGTGGCTACCGTCAAAGGGAATGTAGTAGCCCCCGACACGATTTTATCTTTAAAAGCGAATTGCGGGTGCACGCGGAAAGTGGGAAACGGTTAGTGAATGTAGTAGCCTTCGACAAGATCTGTTATTGATGGTTGAGTCGAAAGTGGCTAATAGAATACTGATCTGCCACACAAAAATGCGCTGAAGTCCCTTCGATCTCACACGAGAACTTTGATAATTTTTTTCCTTTTTTCTCTTTCAGTGGCCGGCGTAATAGTATAATAATTGTTTATAACATTTCCAATGGTCACTCCGGTTACTTTTTTGTTTAATTTTTGCAGAGCACTATCGCGTATTGAAATCATTTTTTAAAGTTATTCAAGTAGGTACTTCAAACATTGTTATTTCCGCGTTTGATATATAGTCCAGTCAACGAATCGTGAAAAACGGGTTGTAGCTGCACTTCTTGTTTCCAAAACTTTTACATTTGGGATGTGTTGGGACATGTTTGGTGATGTTTATGCTAACCCTACGATGTGAGCTAAACTCGTGACGTAGCAAAATGTGCGACTTTTTTCGGTTTTTTGTATATATATCGTGAACGGATAGTCGTAGCAAAATAAAGCCTATTAGGTAAATTTGCTAAAACTTTGTTCATTATCATTTTATGGCTGTTTCTAACGGTTTAAGAGATATTCGCTGTCAAAGATCTCTTTTTCTTGTGACAAGTAATTAATTTAGAATTATTAAGCCATAAACCCAATGCCTTAGGTGCTACAAGGAAAATTTTGTCGAAAAACGTACTATTAAATTGCTTTTTACAAAAAAAAGAGATCTTTGACAGCGAATATCTCTTAAACTTTTAGAAACAGCCATAAAATGATAATGAGCAAAGTTTTAGTAAATCTAATAAGCGTTATTTTTATATATAACAAAAACTTCGCTGCGACTAACCCTTCACGAGATATATGCAAAAAACCGAAAAAAGTCGCACATTTTGCTACATCACGAGTTTAACTCAGATCAAAGGGGTGGGGACTTTTAGCATAAACATCACCAAACACATCCCAGAAGTAAAATCTTTGGAAACAAAAAGTGCAGCTACAATCCATTCTTTGCCTAGACTAAGATTAATAAGTATGTTTACAGAATCCGCAAAAGACCTTTTAAGTGCATCTAAAAGTATAGCCTCTCCCCGTTTCATATATTATAAAGTTTTTTTTAAATAAAAACTCACTTAATGAGATCATATAACTTAATGACGTTAAATTTAAGGGTGGGTGGGGGTTAGCATGGCTCGTGACGGTATATGACATCGGGGCGGCGGTGGGTACAGGAGCATGGCATCAGTCACACCAAGAAAATAACAATTCGTTGCGTTTTTGTGTGTATAATACAATATAATAATATATGGTATATAATGACATGTAGTAAGGGAGTGGGTGGTTATAGGTTCGGGCATGACGCTAATATCAGCTCCCCCAAAAATTCCCAATTTTCACATGACGTCATTAAATTATCAGTAATCCTTTTACACTGTGAGCCCTGTAATTTTGTAGTAGGTACCAGGGCCGTCTCAAACATATTCTGCGCCGGGTGCAAAGGCTCAGCCTGCGCCCCCCTGTCAATAAAAAAATACAATGTGATGTTTGGGTTTCATTTATTTATTTATTAATCTAAAATCAAACAAGAAAAAATCGCAATACGTCAATACACTATATTTAATTAAGTGGTATCAGGTACCTATCTACACCAAAGTCAATTTTTCGAGCTTTTGAATTGGCAAAGGTTTCAATTATATCGTCATTTATATCGTGCATTTTAATATTCATTTCAGATTCTATGCTAATAATGGCCAAATTTGTCAACCTAGCTTGGGTCATAGTGAACCGTAAATAGTTTTTAATTAATTTTAATTTGGAAAACGACCTTTCGCCTTCAGCTACGGTCACTGGAAATGGAGTTCCGCAAATGTAATCATAATCAAATAATATAAATGCAATTAATAACAAAGTTCAACGTCAACATTAGCTACAGATACAGACTATTTTGCTGAATGCGACATATTTTCAGAACATAAAGTAATTGAAAGTCGTAATAACAGCTGAATTACCTTGCACATCGCAACTCAGCGGTATAAGCGATATAACACATGCCAAATGCGCCTTTGCGTCTTTGTAAAAATGTATTAATTTGTAGTATCAGGATTTATGGCGCTCGGCGCCCCTTATGGCCCTGCACCCCTTGCACCCCCGGTAAAGACGGCCCTGGTAGGTACTAGGTACATACATCAAATTTTTGTTTTCTTGTTTGATTTTGTTTACAGTGTCCACACTTCCGTTGCAAAAGATTGATTATAACTCTTTTGTAAAGACTTACTTTTACATAGAGATTATTCGTCTATTGGGAGGGCTGTAATTTTTGTGGCACCTCAAACATTTTTGTTTCCTTGTTTGACTTTGTTGATAGGAGCCACAAACGGCCCTTTAAGTAGTTTAAGTGCACATAAAGGTATAGCCTCTCGCCGTTTCATAAATCATAAATTTTTTTCATAAAAACTCAGTTTTACATGAAGATTCGTTTATTGTAAGTGTAACCGTCCAGAAGTCTATTCGCATTAGTAAATTAAGCTCCTCATCGGACACCCTGTATTTAAAAAAAAATTAATTTGATTGTACATAAAGAACCTTTAACACACCCCAATTTTTTCAGTTTTCATAATAGGAAATCTTAGCCAAAATTTTCAAAAGCTTTACAAAAACATCAAATGTTGTTTTTAATTAATCTATGGGGAGAATAACTGATTGCAGACGTAAGAAACCATCAGGTTTGTTTCGGCAGATGTTGCCTTCCAGATTAGATTACAATAGGTCTATAATTTATAATATCACTCATTTCATCTATATATCTTCTCCAATGTTTGTCTGTTCAATTTCTTGGAGGAAGCCGTGCTTTCTTATATAGTAGGCCAGGCCCTTATGGAGGCAAATTTCATCTGACTAAATAAGAGTTTTTGAAAACGAAAAGAGCATGCAGAAGGATTATCCCCCATCGTTTTTATGTTTATTGAGAAACGCACATAGTAATTCGCCCCATTTCTGGCAAACTCACAGCACGAACATTCCATTTCAAGCATCAAGTGGACTTCAAGAATGACTTGATCACGTGAATCTGCGTAATTTTTTGTCTAGCGTCACACGCTTTTGATCTCACATTTGCCTTCCTGGGAAACTGCGATGGCGCTAACTAATAGCACAGGTTGCGAAAGTGTTTTATTTGCGATGCAAGGAAATAAGAGAAGGATGATGGTTTCAAGTGTGATAGGTTGACTAAAGGGCATCCTGGCGTAGATGCTCTTGAGCTTCCTAGTCGAAGACTGGCCGTTTACTGTTTAGGATCCACTGAAAGTACATTTTGGGCAACGACAGGGCCATCACGGCATGTTTGTATTTTCAGCGAGGTGCAAGAGGCAAAATAACAAATGTTTTTTTAAACATCGTGAAACTATACGTAAGATGGAGTGATGCATGCGCCCTTTGAATTGTTGTTTATTCCAATTGGATATTGGTGGTCTAACAAATTCGTGGATTCGTTTTGCTCTTTACATTACTCTCTCGAGTAAATAAGATTTTCCTGATCAATGATATGGCAGATTAGAGTTTACCATATAATGTTTGCCTGTTTTTTTTAATTATCTAGAGTACATACCCACTAATTGCTCAGTTTGTTTATATTGTAGGTAACGCTTACTACTGTTGAGCAGGGGGAAGGTATCTAACCCATGTATAATTGAATTCGCGGCGTGATTTAAAGGAAAAGCAATTAGAATTACTTACGCAGTTATAGGGCCTAACTACGTCAAGAAGTAATCGCATTACCATGTAATTGTACAGTTTACGTTTACGCAAAGTATATTGTCTGGCTTCCTTCTCTATTGTAATCAATTGAAAGTTCATGTAGGTTTAATATCGAGCGCTTTCTGCTTGAAGCATGCGCCGCTTTGTGCCCTAGTAAAGGTCCTCTGGAGCAGTAAAATAATCCGAGTGATTTCTCTTATGTCGCGTTTTAATACGTACATTATATCTAAAATTAAAAATCATTATGCGTGATTTACTGCGGATAATAAAATATAAAGAAAAGTCGTGGGTTGCGTTTTACAATTACTTGGAGGAATATTTTCTAGCCAACCGTTTACAAAATACTTCATCCTGGCTCCAGGAGTTCCTAGCAACCTGCAGTCCACAATTCGCGGTAGTGAAATACCCAGTTCAACGATTCATCAAAGTACTGGACATGACCAATTACTCCAGCACTTATATTCACATCAACACCCCACTTGGTTACCCAACCCAGAGGTAGGTCAAGCAGAAGAAATTCCCCTCGATGAGGAATCAAAACCTTACAGTCACTATCAGAAGGTATGGTTGGACATTGAAAAACAGTGTTCTGAAAATTATCGAAAACGTTTGGATAAGACATCGGCTAGAAGTTTTAAATCTCAGTCCAGTCAAGAAGATGAGTTGTGGTCTAAAAGTTGTACCTCTAGCAACTTTTCTTTTGACGAACAAACAATTAAAAGTGCAAAAACGGGGAAATTAGCCCTTTCGAAGGCACTATTAACTCGTCGGAGAACTACAACGTCGGAATTGTATACGTGAGTATGTTTGAATATTCTTCCATGCTTTCTTTTTGTTTTTTTCACCAAGATCCTTTTTTTCCCGATGAATCAATCCTCTACGATTCGAATAATGAAACAAAAGCGAAGGTACTTTGGAGCTTTACACCTTTAGAAATATTTCAAGGTTAATTGTCAAATAATGATAATATCTGTATCCATTGTTTAAATGCGGACCCATTCCGTTATCATTGGCAGTGAGGGAGACATGAATGTAATAATGGATGGAGTCTGAATATTAGTGTTGATTTATACACAATAGGTGTGTACCTATATAGGAAATACTGTACAGCTATATTGTGTAATTTTTGTTGTTGATTAAAATTTTATCAGTGGTTGACGTCACACTGACGTCCTGGTTTTTATTATTAGGCAACGCGTGGTCATAAACTAACTGTGTAGGTTATCAATTAGCAATTTTCATCTTCTGTAACAATCAGAGAATTAAAATCAAAAACTTCGGAAGATCATCCCTCTCCATTAATTCACGAATTAGATGAGTGGTAGATCATTCCTGATTCACGTGTAGGAAAATGTTTGCTTACTAGGTAATATTTTTACAGTACCCAGTATAAATAATATACACTCACTACATTCATGACTTCGTAACGTCTGTGCGAATTGATGCCATATGAAAATAAATTTTCCCATTTCTTAGTTCTTACTAGGCAAATGTGCCGTAAGTACGATGATGAATTATTGCAATACACTTGTTAAATCGCATTATAAATTACTAAATGTTTGCATGTAATTACATTCTAATCGCCTCTATAAATAAGTTAGATATACTAGACTACTAGCTACCGTTCAGTTACGATGCTTTGGATAACTGCCAATCGGAATTCGCAATCTCGTTTTCCCGCATTTATTCAAATATTCCCGCCAATCAAAATTCTAATACTCTAGTGACATGCGTTAAATCAGGACACTTGATTACTTTTGAATCTTAATTTAAACACCTCAAATGCACTTAAATTCATCCGTAAATTAATCAGCAAAAAAGATGAAATTGCAATAAATGTGCGTGTAAAAACTTGGCAGTGATTTCTGTAACAAATCTAAAATTGGAATTTCAGATATTTATATAATACCTACTTACTTGTAATAAACACACGTGATACCTTAAAATATGTTAAACTTAATTACTGAAGATGAATTTCAGTGTTTCGGAAACTTTACACCATATCCTATACGTAATGAACCGGAAGAATCTACCTCTAACAGCATGACTGGTATATTCATTAGCTCATTTATTACATTTATAGCGTATAATGTAATTGTTACTCTGACGAATACAAAAAACGTAAGGAAGAACATAGAAAAGCATAGAAAAAAAATAGTAAAAAGACTATCAAAGCCGTCTGCCTCGTGCACACCTAATATACGACGGTAAGATCTCTTTCAAACTTCTATTTCTCCTGCAATACCCACACCAGTTGTTTCTTCAATACTCACACTAACTATCATCAACAGGTTTCAACCTATAGAAAGTCCATCGACATTTAGTATTAAGAAGCTACAGGAAATTGCAGAGAAAGATCAAGACGCTGACATCGAAAGTGCTTTAGACTACTGTCCAGGTGGTTATATGCCAGTTACAATTGGACAAACAATCGGTCCAGATAATCGATATCAAATTGTACGCAAATTGGGCTGGGGACATTTTTCCACCGTTTGGTTATGTGAAGACATATCCGAGTAAGTACGAAATTTCTATCGAGATCTATTAACAATATTTTTAGAGGACAAACGTACTACGCAATAAAAATAGTAAAATCGGCAAATAGTTTTAAAACTGTGGCTTTAGATGAAATAAAGTTATTGAGGTGCGTCAAAGACCAAGAACCAACTGCTGCTGGTTACGACAAAATAGTATTATATCATGACTATTTCATTGCATCCAGTTTATATGGAGAACATCTCTGCCTTACATTTGAACTTATGGGGCCATCGTTGTTACATTTAATTGTTCAAAGTAATTATCAAGGACTCGAGAAAGAAGGAGTTAAGAATATCATAAAACAAGTGAGTTTAATCACTACTCAAGAATATTCGCTAAAACAGTTTTTTAGATTCTTCTTGCGTTAACGTATCTTCATGAAAACTGTAAAATTATACATACCGATATTAAACCTGAGAACATATTGATCTCCGTTAAGGAACCTTATATACGTAACATGGTTGCACACGTAAATCGCTTTAATGAGCTCGGTGTTCAAATGCCTAAATCCTACGGTAGGATTATTATACTGAGTGAAAGGGATGTATTCTTTTTTTGATTTTTAGTAAACGCCGCTGGATGGAATGAACCCGAGTTTTTCGAGCAAAGCTGCGATGAAGCGAGTACGTCGAATGTAATTTATTCACAACGCGTAGATCCTCGAAGGACATCGTGTCCTAACAAGGTATTTGTAAATGATTTTTCGAAACCGATAAAGGTCAAACAAGACCAACGGCCTGTTTCGCCCTTATTTGTGGATCCCGGAATACAAGTCAAAATTGCGGATTTAGGAAATTCGTGTTGGGAGGTAAGATTCTGTAAGAAATCATGTGCTCCTCTCATTCTTTTGTTTACAGGATCATCATTTTGCAGAAGTTATCCAAACGTTACAGTATCGAGCTTTAGAAGTAATTATTGAAAGTGACTATAGTTTTGCCGCAGATATTTGGTCAGTTGCTTGTTTAGCCTTTGAATTGTCAACTGGGGATTTCTTATTTAACCCCCAGGCAAGTGAACACTTATCTTGCGCGGAAGATCATTTAGGATTAATTTGGGAATTACTTAATGGAATTCCGCCATACATTGCGCATAGTGGACGGAGGTCTAGTGAATATTTTACGTCAGCCGGTAAACACGCCGCGCGCTATAGTACTTTATTTATAAATACTTTAATAGGTACACTTAAGCGAATTTCTCCAGAGAATATGAAAATATGGAAAGTGGAAGATGTACTTGTCGACAAATATCAATGGAAAAGGGTAGATGCCATATTGTTAGCAGATTTTATTGAATCTCTAATTGAGCCGGATCAAGATCTTAGGGCAACCGCCTCATCAGCACTCAATAAGAAGTGGCTGAACTCTATAGACAGCCACTGAATGCAGTGCATCACTTTCTTAGAAGACTGATTTAGTTATAAAAAATAAGAATTCCAGTTGTGTTCTAATACTTATTATATATCTGTAATATCTAAACTTAATCTTGCAGTATGACTTTTGACATTCTTCTAAGATAAATTTTGCCGTTTCTCGAGTACAATTTTAAATTAGAACAATTCACGTATTTTTTAGTTCCGTTTTTCTTCCAAAGATTGTTATCTTGTTAAGTTTGTTTAACGTATATCAACGCAATGTGATATTAAGTGAAAAATCAAATTACACTATATTCGTTTAGCGAAGAAAGCTTTAAAACGAAAGTATGTTCTCATATCGTTCCTTATTTTGAGTTTATACAACATTGAATATCGAGTAAAGTGTATTAAATTTGTGATGAAATAATTTTAGTAGCTATAGGTAATTTGAATTCATTTGTCAAGCTTCGTTTTTGTAAGGAATAAATGGTTATTACCTCTCGAAACGGATATCTCTATTTAGGAATAGGTATAGGCTGTATGCTGCAAAAAATTTCAGGCCTCTAGGACAATTCCTCTAAAAGTAGTTCAAAACCGCAGAACGGGTCCAGACCGATTGACAAACAGCCAGATGGACGGACAAAAAGCACACAATAGCACATTTTTTTAAATTAAAAAATATGTGCTAAGAAGAATCCGCCTATAAAAATGCATACAGAAGTGAGGAGATAAAGGACATAATCTGTTGGCGAAGAAAAGCAATAGAGCCCTCTAAAAGGATAATAGCCAGGGGCGGACTGGGTAACTGCGGACTAGGTGGAATTGCATAGGTTACGGGCCATTGTATTTCAGCACTTTCATGCTACGACAAAAAATTATAAATTCATTGTAAAACACTTCAATTAAAACAGAATTTTTTAACAACCTAACATCAACCCCAATTAGAGAAACGTGTTAATAATTTATTAATAGTGCAAGAAACTAAATACAGCACATACTTATAAATTTCCAACAGGCGATTATGATCTACAGGCCAGGTGGCAATCGCCACCCGCCCCCCCGGGCCAGTGCGCCCCTGGTTATACACTGCCTTTTTTCGAGCCCTGAAAAAAACAATGTCGCAGATCGCCTCGGAAAAAAAATTTTCTTATAGAATGTGGCCTGTAGAATCCATAATTTCAAGCAGTACCGAGATTGGGCTACTAGTTCAAAAGTTACAGCCCTTTGAATTTTTTTCGAAATTGGTTTCTAATCTATAACTTTTGATTGACAAGTCTGATCGAAAAAGTACGAATTGATTTGGATTCTACGCACCCAAATTAATAAGAAAAAGTGTTTTCCCGAGTAATTTTGGTGCAGTCGATTTTGGTAAAAAAGGAAGGTAAATAACTGCCTTTTTTGAGCCCCGAAAAACAATTGTCTCAGATCGACCCGGAAAAAAATTTTCTTATAGAATGTGGCCTGTAGAATCCATAATTTCAAACAGTTCCAAGATTGGACTACTAGTTCAAAAGTTACAGCCCTTTGAATTTTTTTTCGAAATTGGTTTCTAGTCTATAACTTTTGATTGAGAAGTCTGATCAAAAAAGTACAAATTGATTTGGATTCTACGCACCCAAATTAATAAGAAAAAGTGTTTTCCCGAGAAATTTTGGTGTAGTCGATTTTTGGTAAAAAAGGAAGGTAATAACTGCCTTTTTTTGAGCCCCGAAAAAAAAATGTCTCACATCGACCCGGAAGAAAAAATTTTCTTATAGAATGTGGCCTGTAGAATCCATAATTTCAAACAGTTCCAAGATTGGGCTACTAGTCCAAAAGTTACAGCCCTTTGAATTTTCTTTCGAAATTGGTTTCTAGTCTATAACTTTTGATTGAGAAGTCTGATCGAAAATGTACGAATTGTTTTGGATTCTACGCACCAAAATTAATAAGAAAAAGTGTTTTCCCGAGAAATTTTGGTGTAGTCGAATTTTGGTAAAAAAGGAAGGTTATACACAGGGGCGGACTGGGTACTTACGGACCATTAAGCCATTAAAGTATTAGTGTAGTAATGAAGGTGCCGGGGGGGTGGGGTAGCTCTGAGGTGCACCACAAAAACATTTTAAAGTAAGTACTCCTTTCTCGAAAATCAATTACCATACAGTTTTTTTTTAATTGCAGCTGATAATCAAAAGTAACAAAATATACAATCCACACGAGGTGCGTCGCCTATCATTGTATTTCAGCACTTTCATGCTACGACAAAAAATGATAAATTCATTGTAAAACACTTCAATTAAAACAGAATTTTTAAATTTTTTAACAACCTAACATCAACCCCAATTAGAGAAACGTGTTAATAATTTATTAATAGTGCAAGAAACTAAATACAGCACATACTTATAAATTTCCAACGAGCCATTATGATCTACAGGCCAGGTGGCAATCGACACCCGCCCCCCCCGTGCCAGTCCGCCCCTGTTAGTAATGCTGTTGGCATGTATGGACTTGAAAAGAGAAATGAGAGAGGCAATAGACTGGCAGATTTCTGGAAAGATACAAAAATGATGATTACCACCACACGGTTTAGTAACAAAGAGACTGTACACCTGGAAATCCCCTGGAGATCATTACTGAAAGCTAATAGATAGGCACTGGAAGAGATGCAATTCCAGTGAGCTAAGAGCTATTAAGGTGTCTTGAAGAAAGAATTAACATCTCTGTGTAATGATATATACGAATCAGAGGGGAATGGCCTGAAGATTTGCTGAAGACTGATGAGACCTCTAGCTAAAAACAAAGGAACAAATAAGTGTGGTGAGTATCGAACAAACGGCCTGGTGGAACATGTAGCGAAAATATTGTTGAGGGTGTTAAATAGAAGGCTATAGAGGATAATGGAAGAAGATGTGGCAGAAGAAAAATTCAGATTTAGAAGAGCAATGATAACAAGGGATGCGATTGGATGTGTAAAAACAATAGATAAAAGATATACACATGGGCTATGTATTTGTATACTTAAAAAAAACTGATCAAATGACTGATATCGTACTTGGTATCACGGCATGGAATAGATGACTGTATGCAACCAACATTACACGCCACTGATAGCATGTTAATATTTCAACCGTATCGTCTTTGCTATACATCTTTGTGAATTTGATTTAAAAAAATTCCCTGTATGGAAAAAGGAAGGACTCTGAGTTTGTGTTCCGTTGACATGGTAAAGGCATTTTATTGTGTTCTGTGGGACAAATTGATGGACATTTTACAAGAAAAAGGTGTAGTTTGGAAGGATATAAGGCCAACAGGAAAAATTGAGTCGATGAACACAGAACACATTGATTTGAACTTAGTTGGTAAAGAGGTGTGGCAGGGGTATTCTTTATTACCAACATTATTTAATATTTACGCTGAGTACATGTGTACAAGTGTCGGAAAGGTGATAAGTGCGTAAATATTGGTGAAGAAAAGTTGTATTCATTCGGTTTGCTGATGACTCTACTGTCTGCAGAAAATATACAAAAGATCTGGTTATGGTTTTGCGAAAATTTCAAAAACCAGCTAGGGGATCCCGTTTTGTATAATGCAGTGTGTCAACATCTGGTATAACGGAAGTCCTATAAAAGAAAAAATGTGTTCACTGGAAGTGGCTTAGTTCATTAGCATTCGCGGGCTATAATAGTTAATCAGTAGACGTGGTTAGGAATCGCGTTAGAAAGTACCTAGAAAATTAGGAAAATAAGGTATAACCACATTAGCGAGTTTTAAGTATGAATTTATTATCTAATTAGGTTGTCCAAAAAATAATGGTTACAGTCGTCCTTAAATCTAATATCTAATCTACTAAAGGCACAGCAAGCGTACATATTCGTACTGGTATATCCTACATGACTATGAGAAACATTTTATACAAAAAGATACAAAAATGAATAGACAAGCCAAAGAACAATTTAAAACATAGTTAACGTTAAACGTAAACATTTAGAGCCAAAACTAGTAATAACAAAAATGACAATCTCACTAAAAACATCTTTCTCCAACTTTACATCAATGCACTTTTTATAATCTACCACATTTAAACAATTAATACTTTTTATATTAACTTATATGAGATGCCAATACTGAGTATTAAAAAGTGCATTTAACACACAGGGCAAACTATAGAAAATCCATTAAGTACGAATAGGAACACATTTATCTCCCTGATTTGCTTGCTTCCCGCTCAAAAAGTTTCAATTTTTCAGATTCATGTGTTACGAAATTCATAGTTTAACGTAAACAAATAACAGAAGAGAATATTATGTACAGTATAGAAATATGGCAAGATTAGAAGACTAAATAAATAGGTATCCTAAAAAACTTTTTGAGCACCATTCAATGATTGCAATTATTACTTCTACGATAAATAGTAATGGTGACTTTGATATTAAAAGTTTTGTTGGCGTTTACGTTTCGTGTCCATGGCATCTAAAATAGGTTGGCGTTTCGTTTGGTATCTCCTACGTAACTCCTCAATTTCTCTCTCCATTTCCGCATCTAACGTCGCCATTCGTTGATGTAGCTCTTCGTAGCTTAAAAATTTTAACTGCAACAAATTGTACTCATTATGCGCAATGGAGATATAAAAATACTGACAAATTCAAAATCGCCGTCTGTGAATGGCCTTTGGAAGTTAGGCCTGTTTTCTTGTAACATTTGCAATGGTTGTACTGGGCTCATTTGTAGGTGAAAATGACTTTGAAAACGTTGCTGCTCCTCTATGTTCAGTTCGGGACCATCCAACGTTGCAGGACTAGCGACACCATTCCCATGCTGCATAAGTTATATTTAGTGTTTCATATTATTAATGTAATGTTCACAAAAAAAAAGGTTCTGGTGCCCGAAGCAGATTTTTCCATTAATGAAAACAAAGTATCAATCAAAGCACAGAAGATAAAATCTTATCTCATGTTTTTCTCCGGTCATAGATAAAAAGTTTTCTTATCGCTGCGTACGCTATTTCAATTTCAAGATAAAGACGTGTTATTGCCGTATTGAACACAGTTGCAGTTTGATCTTAGAAGACGCGCATTATTTTGTATTTTGACATACGGTTATTATGAAACTGACTGGGCCACTGATTCATTGGACAGAAGATCATGCACCACAACTTTATATTTCAGAATGGATGCATATCCTGGAATTCCTGTAAACCGCCAACTCTTCTAAAATTTTCAGATATACCGCTTCATAGAAAACAAGTACGAAAATGTGTCTGGCGATAACAAGAGATACACTGCAAAAAACGAGCGGGGTTGCCACGCTCTCTTGAAAACTGAAGGTTTCGTTTGCATCCGAGCAACGTTTCGTCCCGAAAGGAAGAAACGTTTTTAATCAAAGTAAAATTCGTGTCGCAATGCGCGTTCCCTGCAGTTTTAATTGTGCGTTATAACGGAAACTTAGCCTACTTCGTAGTAAGGCCGTTTATTTTCGAATGATAAAAACATCTTCCAACACAAAGTGTCCATTCCCACCCACGTCAATTAATGTAAGCCTATTTTACATTTTTGATTTATATAGTGGTGTCTGGTTATTTTATTAAATTTGTGTGAAGTAATTTAAAAAGGTGGAAGAGCAGATACGCAGTTTCTTTGTACCAAAACATCTGAACTTCGCTTCATTAGATTAACGGGTAAACGTGTTAACATAATAACTTAATTTCATGCACATGGTTATAATAATAATTGTTACTTGTTATCTAATAAAAACACTATAATTATTATTATATTCCTGAAGAAGTCGACCTCTGAGAAGTAGCTGCATGAAGCAGATTTTGTATTGTATTTATTCATAAGAACCAAATCCAACAAAGGATTTGGGCTATTTGTTCCATTCCTTTGGTTGGATTAAAATTTTGTTTAGAAACGTCCGATCGTTTTGAAAATTGGTGTACATGTTCTTAAGAAAGGTCGCTATTGTTTTTTACCCAGGTAGACCGGGCGAAAAAGTTACCGCTCAAAAACAATCTTGAGGATCGTTCAGTATTTAGTTGTAACGGATTTTTTTAAGGAAGTGGGGAGAAAATTCTAGTTTTCTACAGATAGATTTAAGAAAATGTATACTACATTGTAAATTATAAGCCTACCTTAACTTCGGCCTCCTTCTTATCAAAATGGTCCAGAAAGAGTGGTCGATATTTCTTGCCCATATTATCAGAAGCTGTGTCATGTCCTAAGGGGAAAACATACAAAACAATTTCTAAAAACGTACACAGTTCGTACTTTTCATTGTCTGTTCGTCAACATCACTGTTAATCACCATAGTTCCCAACTCGGACTGTAACTCGACAAAAGTTCCACTCTGAGACATTGGCACCAAAGTTCCGCCCTTATTGGGTACTAAAGTTCCTTCATCCTTACACTGAATGAGAGTTTCGTTTTGATTATTCCCAACGTCGTCATCCTGTAAAGAAAAGTCATGATGCGAGTCGTTTATTTATCAAACTTACAGATTCATCGTTTGGATTTGCTTTGATTACTGGCGGATTTGTTTGGGAGACATTCCTAAAGCTTTGAATTTCTCGTATTTCGTGCGCCTCTGCTATCATCTGCGACAAAATCGTCGACGGTTTTGCATTACCTAAAATTGAGGGGAATTATGGAAATACGACAATTTGAAATAAGTTACGTATGAAGACGTGCTGAAGCAAATTGGAGGCTGTGGCGCGTTCTTTCGGATTTTTGATTAGGCACACGCTCACAAAATCGATAAACTCCGAACTCCACTTGTCAGGTTCGCGGAACGACGGAGGCGGTTTCGTTGGAATCATAAAGATGGCACGCATCGGGTGTATATCGCCGTACGGCGGTTTTCCTTCGGCCATTTCTAGCGCTGTTATTCCGAGACTCCAAATGTCGGCAACGCAGTCGTATCCTATCTCTTGGATTACCTCAGGAGCCATCCAAAACGGGGTACCTACATGTTCAAAATAATTGTATTTTGCTAGGCAGATATTCAATCATTCACATATTTGACTTTATAAGTATATACAAGTGTTAACATTTCAATCTAATGGCCTGTTCCAAATTCTGAATGCTGCCAAACAGTTGTGGAGTGTTTGATATATCACGAAAGTGGTGGCAGGAGAATTATGGGTAGTGAATTGTGGGGAAAATTTGTTCAAAATTACATGATAATGTTAGTTACTGAATGGTTACTGTCTGATGGTCAATCTGGCAAAGACGATGGTCTAAACTCTAAATGGTCCTGTCAGTACCACTCACTGCGCATGTCTGAAGCATTTATGTATAAGTAAAAAAAATGCAAGAAGAAAATCTTAAACCTACAAATAACCTAATGTCCAACTTCGCTGAATTGGGTACACAATTTTTCGTACCAAAACATCGAACCCGAGCCGCCCCGATGCAAGCTGAGTATCCTTACCACTAGATCATTGTGGCACACATTAGACCGTGAGTGAACTGAGTTCGCATTCCAAAATAATTCGGAGAAGGGTCAATTATGACGTGACTTTCCGCATGCGCAGTGAATGGTACGGACAGGACCATATAGATTAAAATGAGACGTCGGTCCTTTTACCATAAGACGCTAAATTGTTTTTGTGAATATTGTCATAGTCTTGAAAATTTTACTGAACTGGAATTGCGTGGTACCATATCCCTTAGTATAAAGATTATTTTCCCAAAGTTGGAAAGCATGCTTCAGTTAGCCTAAAACGTGGACAGATTGAGGGGACAAGTAAACCGAGAATTTTTTGTACAGAACCTACTATCATAAAGCACATTTTACACAGTTTTCAGATGAATAGTCTCCAATACAAAAAAGCAAAACATACCAACACACTGTAAACTGAATCAGTCCTTGCTCGACTCAAATAACCTCTTACAGAGAATCCAATGCGTACTACAAGACAACACTGACAATGAAACAAAATCAAGCTGGGCTAAAAACTGAAGAATTAACGAAGAGGAACACGAAAATAAACAGAAAGAAAACAAAGACAATGGTTAAAGAAAAGGAAGAAAGAATCACGAATATAGAAGTGAACCAACAAAACACTGAGAAAGTAAATGTATATAAATACTTGAAAAAGAAACAAAGATGGTGGTATACAGGACAATTTGTACATCAATACTTCTGTTCGGAAGTGAGATCTAAAAATTGAATATAGTACTCACAAGCAAGATACAGGCTATGGAAATGAAATATCTCAGGGGCGTAAACTGAATAACTGAAGTTCATTTAAACACATGGTTGATTTATAAGACCTATATGATGTAAGATGAAAGCTATCATGTTGTATTATATTAAATCGAAATCATGTGATTGTGTATCTGTGCACGTGATAACTCTGAAGGTCTTAGGGACCTGAAACCTAGTGTATAGGTTCTTCTTGGTCCAAGAACCTCATTGAATCAAGTCAAAAGGAAAACGTAAAACTGCATGGTAGATACATACACCTTTTCGACATGTAATGAAGACTTGCTTGGGTTCTTTGACAGCCCGCGTGGTTCATTATGTATAGCGCTGATGTTTGGACCTGTGCCGTGGTCCGTAATATTAATGCTGTGGGTAGCATACTAACGTACGTATGTCAGCTAAATAATTAAAAAGTATCCACTTTTAAATTTTGTTAATTCCATACCTAATTCATATTTGAAAATCTTTCCAAAGGATCTCTTTTAGAAATTCTTACCTATATTTAACACTTTGCACGCATCTTAATAGGAACCAGTTTTTTTAAGGAAATAATATGTTATATGATTTCTATGCCCATAGATTGTCATAATGTTTATGAGTCGTGCCTACATAAACAAGACCGTGTGACAAATAATAAAAGACCGAAACTCAAATTTTGAGCCATACTCAGGTTTTTAAGAGTATTTAATAGTGCTGCTCGGTACCGGTAAAGTCATAGGTAACCAAAGATTGATCGTTGGTAGAATTAATTCTCCCCTTTTGCTTATCTCTTTTGTATTTTACCACTCTGTGATCATCAAATGGAGTTCTCATTGACGTGGTTGCGAAACTTGTTGCCGTTTCTTTATAATTTGTAACTGACCGAAAAAAGGGATTTTATCACTGAGTTGAGGTCAGAAATCCCTTTAGATGCTAATGATTGTTTGTCGCGGTTTTTATGACTATGAAGAATCTATTTATTTTTTTTTTAATTATTGCTCTGTTCCGCAAGTCACACTCAAGCCGGTTGAATTTAATAGTCCTCCAATGTCTACTTAGGTGCGCAGGTTTAAAATTTAGTTTTTTTGTCAAGAGATGTGGCTTAAAACCTGTTGAAGTACATATATGACAAACCCAAAGCGACACTATTGCTCAGACAGCCCACTACAAAACGTCATATTCGCTTAGTTGTTTAGGAGTTAGCGGTATACTTATTTTTCGTGTTTGAATTTAGTGCCACATAAAAGGTGAGCGGGCCGAGCTTGCCTTCGGCTGCTGAGCATTACACGTGACGACCACAGAATATTCTGTGGCGTTACGTATGAGATGAGATGGATTCCCGTCCAAAATATATAGTGTATACCGCGCGACAAGAAGTAGTTACTTCAAAAAAATAAAAGTCAGGCTACAGATGGCGTTAATGTAATCTGCCAAGAGTATAAATCTTTGACCTTACACACACCATGATTTATTTCAATCCGTAAATGATGCGAAGTGTTAACTTTTATAGCGAAAGCGAACAAATTCGTATCGTTGTATTAGAGAGGTAGTGTATTCGCGTAAAAATAAATTGCCACTACGAAGGCGTGGTGGTTACAGAACTTTCATTGCGCTATATTTGAAGTGACTAATTACGTTAAAAAATCAGTTTATGAATTAATTTTGCGCACCTATTTCATTTATACGAGGTGCCAATAAGATTTTTAATAAAGTGGCAACCGGTAAAAAGGTTAAAGACAATTAATTCGTGCTCTTGTTGGCTGTTAAAATCCTAAGTTATAAGGGTAAATTTTGACATTTTCATACTGCGGAACATTGGTAAATATTCCAGTGAATAAACCAAATTTCAACTAATAAATTGCGAAAAAACTGAAGCGCAGTTTTCCTGATTCAAATTTGTCAACCATCTTTTCAGAATGATTTCCAACAAGTCAGTTTACAAAAGGTCTGATTATATTGTGCAAGGCGTTCTACCATCTAAATTGCTGCTACAAGCACACGTCTCACAGTTTTTTTTTAAATCAATAGTATAATGTGATCGTTTTAATGTTTGTGAGTAAAACATTGAATAAAGTAGTACCTTTATACAACATACTTTTCTGGAACCTTAAAATTAAGTAATCTCGTACAAAATACTCATAATCCCTATTTGTGAAATAACATCGATTACAGTACACAAAACAAAAGATCGTATAGACATAAATACCATACAAGGTCAGCATGCGTTCAACCTTTCGAGTCACTTCGAATTGCAAAGAGTTTTACAAGCTAACTTCAAATTACTGCATGTTCTAGATCGGCCTACTCCCTGCTTCAAGTTCAAAATACCAACTGTACCAAAATGCATTAAAAAACTTCGAAACTGCGTATATTCAAACAAGCCAATTTATATGAGAGTGATCACACTAACTTTAATTTTGAGATTATAAGTGGATATAAAGAATCAACCTTTCGCAAGATAAGAGACATTGAATATTTATTACTGAACTAGCCGTGGTATTAATTATTTCAATTACAAAAATTCATTGTTACAGGAAAATTATTACTAGTGCCGTAGAGAATAAAATTTTGAGTGAGGGTTTCGTGGTGGTACCTAGAAATATTAAAAATACCTTTAAGGATTTTCCCCAATAACTTTTTGAAAGGTTATCCTCTTTGGGTATAAGACCTTAGAAATACCTTTAGAAGCCATTCTTCATAAGTTTTGTGAGGTACGAGTCAGTAGTGTAAAATAATGCTTAATTGGCATTAGTGTACACATTGCAAGTAGTAGATAACTACAGATTTTTTTATAATTGTTTAGTAGTTGTTCCAAAAGAGCCAAAAAAACTTAGACGACAATATTCATGCCAGATATTGGAAAAAGGTCACTGAAAAAATCAGATACTGAGTAACTATTGGTTACCCACCGCTATCTCTAAAGTGACCACATGAAAAGATACGTGATGATGAATATGTTTATTTGATTAATTGAAATACATATATACAAACAAAAACTTGACCAGTGATTTAAATCATCTCAATGTTAATCTTATTTGCTAAAGAGAAAGAAGGAAAAGATTATGTCTTCAGTTTCTAACAGAAGTGAGATAAAAGACCTCCTTGTTCTTAGAAAGTGTGTTGTAGGAGATGGTTAAACATGTTGCCAGCATGAAAATCCCCTAAAAATGTGATATTTTTACACCCAGTATAGAAGAAAATAAAGTACAATAGAAAGCAATGACCAAAATGAAAAACCAGACATGGAATGAAGAAAGTTATCACCAGCCCTTCAGAAACAGTTCAGAATATAAGTACTATGCTCACAATCTAAAATCAAACATCGGATAGGTACTTAAAACAAAAACAAGACTGTATGCATATAACATCTTACCGATAACAGTATTTCTTTTCACCATGGTGTCTGTAAGCTGACCGGCGACCCCGAAATCGGCCAGTTTTGCATGGCCCTCAGAATTTAACAAAATATTTCCAGCCTTAATATCACGATGAATTTTCCTCCTTAAATGTAGGTACTCTAAACCCTTCAAGGTATCGGAGACAATTGTAGCGATTTCATCTTCCGTTAAAGTTTTCTTGCGTAACCTCATGATGTCGGAAACGGAACCCGCTCCACAATATTCCATAACAATCCACAGATCTGTATTTTTAAAGTAGCTTCCGTAATACTTAACAACGTACGGACTATCACACTGTTGCATTATTGAGATTTCTTTTATGATTTCCTGCAGATCAGTATCGACGGGTACTTGTTTGATGGCTAACACTTGTCCCGACTCCTTATGGAGCGCCTTGTAGACACTACCATAAGAGCCTTCGCCCAGTTTACATATTATATCGAATACTTCTTCGGGTTGTCTTGTTAAACTCTCTTCCGACAATTTTTTTAATTCGCTAAAAGCATACACATTACCATCTTTGTAAGACAGAAAGTTTGTTGACACTAACAAATAGGGTTAATACTTTTTGTGGAAGTGTAAATATAAACAATTCTAAATACAACAGCAAAATATCTTGACTACTTCCTGTGAAATAATAATGAAGGAGAGATTTGTACGTACCTTTTGGAAGACATTGTAATCTAGTAGAAATTTCATTAACTGTCAATCGAACTGGTACAGGTTTTCATATTTAAAAATAGATTATTTGTTTAATTATTTACGAGAACATACTCAAGAGACATCACATTCACACACACATACTTCAAACACCTGACTGGCTGCAAAGGTTTGTGGATACGCTACCGCCATCTCTGTACAATTTTTGGTTTATGTCGTGTGATTGTGGTTACTGCATGGATTGTGGGGTTTGTGGCATTGTACCGGGTGATTCAATAGAAGTGATTTCCCGCAAAAATTTGTGAAGTTGATAATAACTGATGATCATTTATTTAATTAACGACGTGTAAAAATCCTACTTCTGTTTTAACACAAGTTATAAATTGACACTAGGCACAGTCACGTTTCTTACATATTTCAGTGCGTCGACTATAAAAATTGTACCAAATGGAACTAGCAAACGGCACACACCGATGAACGACATTTCTGGTTTCAGAAAAATATAAAAAATAAAAAAAATTATACCAAAGTATGTAGCACGGGGGTGGTAAATATGTTCCTTTTTAACGGTGGGTGAAGGCACAAATGTCTTGGGACTACCATTGTATGTAGGTATATGTGGAACTACTCTCATGCTTAAATTGTATAATTGTACCTGAAATATTTGTGGTAGACGAAGAAACTAGCTTGCTATACCTATATTTATATAATTGTAATAATTTACTGACGGTAAGAATTTGGTAAAAGAACATTTTTGCAGATTTGGGTACCTTTGAAACTACACTCTAGGCAGTGCAATTCCAAAGCCTGTATTGAGCATTCGTAAAACCAATAGCACTACTGTACACCCACAGTCAGATGGAATGGTAGAACGTATTAGACAAGTATGACTCAAAGAATATGTAATAGAACATACAAATTTGATGCGATTTGGTCTTGTAGTCTCCAACTTATGTGTAACACGGGAAATGCTACAAAACTGGCACTTTTTATTGTTAGCACAGATATATCAAATTTATTTTGTTGCTCCTAGATGACAACTCTTGTAATTCCAATTTGAATCAACTTTGTAAGGCTGTAGCAGAGCTGGGCAGAATACTTTCAAAAAGTATTTGAATACTAATTAGTAAATACTTTACACAAATCAAAGGTATTGAATACTAAATACTTACGTCCAGCACAAGCGAATACTAGATACAGATACATTGAAAAGTATTCAAATACTTTAAAAAATAAGTAGGTAGGTATTCAAATACTTTAGAATGTATTCGAATACTTTCAAAAGTATTCTAATACTATCAAAGGTATTCGAATACTATAAAAAGTATTCGAATAGTTTGAAAAGTATTTCATTATCGTACTTTGAAAAGTATTGGAATACAGTAAAAAAGTATTCAAATACTTGTCACTCAAATACATTAAAAATTTAAAATAGTATACTAGATAAAAGGCTTAATACTACTTAAAAAATCAGGTTATACTTTGTATGGGGTTACCTTTTTTTTATATTTCTCTTGTTATATACAAATTTAAGGGGAGTAAAAGCGTATTATTATTATATTATTATATAGGAGGTACCTACCAGGACCTTTCTTATACCAGTTATATCCTTAAGAATACGTGTACCAGTTTTCAAAACGATCGTTCCAAGATTGGGCCACTAGTTCAAAAGACAGCCCTTTGAATTTTCTTTCGAAATTGGTTTCTAGTCTATAACTTTTGATTGAGAAGTCTGATCGAAAAAGTACGAATTGTTTTGGATTCTACGCACCAAAATTAATTAGAAAAAGTGTTTTCCCGAGAAATTTTGGTGCAGTCGATTTTTGGTAAAAAAGGAAGGTTATACACTGCCTTTTTTGAGGCCCCAAGAAAAAATTGTCTCAGATCGATCCGGAAAAAAAATTTTCTTATAGAATGTGGCCTGTAGAATCCATAATTTCAAACAGTTCCAAGATTGAGCTACTAGTTCAAAAGTTACAGCCCTTTGAATTTTCTTTCGAAATTGGTTTTTAGTCTATAACTTTTGATTGAGAAGTCTGATTGAAAAAGTACGAATTGTTTTGGATTCTACGCACCAAAATTAATAAGAAAAAGTGTTTTCCCGGGAAATTTTGGTGCAGTCGATTTTTGGTAAAAAAGGAAGGTTATACACTGCCTTTTTTTGAGCCCCGAAAAAAAAATTGTCTCAGATCGACCCGGGAAAAAAATTTTCTTATAGAATGGGGCCTGTAGAATCCATAATTTCAAACAGTTCCAAGATTGGGCTACTAGTTCAAAAGTTACAGCCCTTTGAATTTTCTTTCGAAAGTGGTTTCTAGTCTATAACTTTTGATTGAGAAGTCTGATCGAAAAAGTACAAATCGTTTTGGATTCTACGCACCAAAATTAATAAGAAAAAGTGTTTTTCCGAGAAATTTTGGAGTAATCGATTTTTGGTAAAAAAGGAAGGTTAAGTATTCAAATACTATGCCAAGTATTCGAATACTTCTCAAAGTATTCAAATACCTTGCGAAGTATTCGAATACTAAAGTATTTGTGAAAGTGAAAGTATTTGAGTTACAAATACAAATACTGCTTCCATAAAGGTATTTAATTACAAAGTATTTGAATAAAGGATTTGAATACTAAAAAGTAGTTGTAGCCTATATTTTCTCAGAGAAATCACATATGCTTTTAACTGAAGTCTTTAAATGCAAACATCTTTGCATTGGTGTATTTACTTGTGCAGAAAACAAATACTGTTCGATATTCATCTTTTTTATTGCAGCTCTGTTAGTGATCGAAAGAGCAATATTGCACAATATAATTTAACATTTATTTTTATACAGAACCACAATATACAGCACAGATATACAGCATTTGCCTGTTGTAACGTGAACATAATAAATAACTAGTTATCCAACATGGAATACTGTGAACAAGCTTTCAACATGAACTAACACGCAATAATTATTTCGCTTTGCCTTGAGCTGCAACAGCTTCCATCGCTTTCTTAACAGTCTCGGGATCTCCTAAAAATTGCAAGCTGCCATTCGGTACGGGTTTCAGATTCTCATCCAAAGTGTAAACAAACGGAATTCCAGTAGGTAAATTCAACGCCATTATTTGATCCTCGCTAAGTTCGTCTAAATGTTTCACGATGCCACGAAGACTGTTACCGTGTGCCGCAATCAAAATGCTTTTGCCCGCCTTTATTTGTGGGACAATAACGTCGTTCCAAAATGGAAGTGTTCTTTGGATTGTTAGCTTCAAAGATTCGAAAAATGGGAACTCGTCTTCAGTTGGTCCATCCTTGTAACGTGGATCATCGATGATTTGAGAATAGTATGGGTGATCGGGTGTCATGGGTGGTGGAGGAATATCATAGCTGCGACGCCACACGGTAACTTGTTCTTCGCCGTACTTTGCGGCCGTTTCCGATTTGTTAAGTCCAGTGAGCCCGCCGTAATGTCTTTCGTTTAAACGCCAAGTTTTAGTTGTGGGAAGGTCGGTTTGGCCGATTTGCTCCAGAATAGACTGCAAGGTCTTTTGAGCGCGAGTCAAAACCGATGTGTAGGCCAAATCAAATTTGTAGTTTGCATCCTTAAGCGCTTTTCCCGCACTTATCGCTTCTTCGCGACCTAAAACACAGAAAATCAGATCGGAGAAACGAAATTTTCAAATTTGTGAAGGTCAATCAAGGACGAGTAGTTTAAATTTTGGAAGTTACCTTTGTCGCTCAAATTGGCGTCGAACCATCCACAAAACAAATTCTTTTGGTTCCATTCGGACTCTCCGTGACGGACCATAACAATCTTGTACTTTGCCATCTTAAAGTGCTGTAGTCTGGGTGTAATTATTCTCAAATTCGGAATTTCTATAAGCGGGACGGTACCGAAAGTGAACAGAAGCTTATGCGTACGCAGCTGTGTTCATTACCGACACGACGAAATCTACATTATCGGCATAACTACAGAGCAAGTGATAAATTATATACAGCCAGGAATAATACCGCACTAGACACGTCCAAACTTTACCTCATTACCGTAATGTCTGGGCATCTAGAAATCTGTGCCGGTTAAAATATTTTGCGTTTCTTTAATGTTGTTGCATGTACCTGAGAGCACAATATTTATTCCCCGTTCTAATTAGACGAAAAATGCGGGCCGTACAAGATTTCTAACCTAACAATTTGTGAATGTCAAGGTTAACGCGTCTTAAAATATGTTTGTATAGGTTTTTTCAGACCGGCACATTTAACAGAGCAAACGTTTCAAAATCGTTAAGCGTTTTTTTTTTCATTTTATGACTGACATACCATCTCGTTTGGGGTTAGGTATGTTACCTGGAAAGCGCCAAATCGGTCAATTTTGCAATCAGCTGATTAGGTGCAAGAATGAAATTGGTAAATACCATTAAGTTACAACTTTCGTAATCCTAATGTTTACGTGATATTGTGAACTGAGTTTTCATCCGGAGTACGTACGCGCAGTACATATGTAGTATACTTATCTGTATTCATCTAAGTACCCACTTACAAGCATCAGAGATACTTTATAGTTGTATACTGACAACCGGATATGCGTTGCATATTCTTTTAATATGCAAAGTTGTTGGACCAATACATTCAGAATTGATATATATCCATAGAAGTTCCTATAATTTTGGGGGTGTACATTTTATTTATACATAAATTTCACTGACTGCAGTTTACTAGGCTCTGTATATAAAATAGAGATAATAATAAACGTTTGTGTTCACAAAGTACTTAAACTTTATATGTAATAAAGCACTATAATGACTTAACAAAGCAATATACGAGCTATTTATAAACAACGAATATGAAAAAAGAACAACATTTTTATTAAATTTGCTTTAACGAGTATAAGAATCACTTGCAAAGCCGAAAAATGTACTTAATAAATGTTTATTTGTTTTATTCAACACTGCACTAGTAGTGTTACAATCATCACCATTTAAGTCTCTGCCAGACAGAGCGCGGTCTGCAATATCTGTATTCAATGTCAATGCATTGTACTTGTCAAAGAGACGGCGTTTTTACCCCGCGGCGGATCGCGTTTAACAGGTTACATAGAAAACAATCGCTGACCGCAAAGGGCCTGAACTGATTAATGAGTATAATGAAAAATGAAATAGGTCAAGATACAAGGAGGTCAACACATGTAAAAACAAATTGCTGTTGCTAGCAGAGATACTACCCGCGCATGCGCTCTTTGCTGTATGTCTAAGAACATGTGTATTAAATTTGGTTCCAATCGGTTTAGCCATTTAACCGGACATGAGAGCACACACACATCATCGAGATTTTGTTTGATTCGGATTCGTGGAGCTTCAAAACGCATATGTCCATCATTTGTTATCCCTAACGTGGGGGTGGTAAAAATGAACATAAATATGGATAATAAAGTTTATTTTAGATGCTCTTTCATCACATATCCATAAAAACATATTTACAATAAACAAGATGTATTTGCAAAATCCTGAGCCATGTTTACTACAGATTTCTTACACTAATTGCTCGAGCTTATTATAAGCATACAATGTAGTTATATAAACTTAGCAACATACAAGTTATTAACAATTCCTTTAGATTTTTACAATAGATGACAAAATATGGACATTTCTACTGAATACAGTGGCACACGATTAGGCCAACAATTACAATCACATACCTTATTCATGTATACTTTTGATTTTCAGCATTTGATAAACTAAACCAGTGGCACCACACAAAATCAGGTACAACATTATACAATTGTGAGCACTTCCACATAAACATCGATCAATAAGTACTTTACGGAATTCCATAAATATATAGTTACGAGAATTACAATTATATAAAATATCTCGATAATTGTGATTTAGGTAACCATATACTCAATTACTAATAGCAAACCAAAGCTACTTGCAGCCTAATAGATGACTTTCATCTGAATCATTGGCGATTTAAATACATGAGGAACATAGGAGACATACGGCAGAACAAATGTTATACAATAAGAGAGCGAGAACACAATTAAATGAAAATAATATAAAGATTTCTGTGCATACTTGACTGGTCAGGTGGCGCTTATAGCATTCGGTAATAACGCTCAAAAAATTCTATTAGTATACATTATAAATTAAAATTATGGTGCAGTGATAAGCCCAAAAATTGCGTTGATGGATTTTTTTGAAACTTTGAGGATGGTAGTAAATTGCTTACTTTTACATTTGTGACACCGTAAGATCCGGCACAATGTCTTGGAATTATACACTTGCAATAAATTAAACTGCCAATAATTTTACTATCCAGTCTTATCGTATAATGCACATTATTGCTCATGTAAGCACTAGTGAAATTCTAGCACGGGTGCACTTGTTGTTAATGAAACACCCTGTACTGTGTGTGCTATGTTGATTGAGACTGCAGTGCATCTCAACTGTTTTAAAGATAGAGACTAACGGATTACGCGCCCTATAGCACTTTTTTGTGAACACAAACAGAATTAATCTAGCTATGATTGTTTCGGGAATACAAGGTGAATACGAAAAGCTTTTAGATTATTATAGATTATGTAGATATTTTTACGTAGAATCCAGTAGCGTAGTCAAAAAAATTTTTGGAACATCAGTTCTGAGATTTGACACAATCTTGCTATTTCTTTAATGCAACACCCTGTTTATCCTAACACGAATTTTATCAAATTGTAGCTATGAACCAAAAATAAAAACCTGATTTTTAAATAGTTTTAAATTTGTTTTGTTTATTATATCCATCGTAACTAAGGCACCCAATACCAATCAATAAAACATGGCTAATGATAGAAACATGCCATTTCAAAAATGTGAAAAATTGGATGTATACAAAAAAAAGAGAGATTGTGATACATCATTGAAAAGAATGCAAAAAATTGACGTTAAGATATACAGGGTGGGGCATTTAAAAAATACCAATGGGTCAAATTTCAGAAACAGTAATCCAAACATTTTTCTGGATTCTACGTAAAATATCGAAAATAGGCAGTTGTTACCTTTTTTTCTATCTTACATGGGTAGTATAAAATATGATACCATCCCAAAAAGTCAAACTTTTCGTTTTCACTCTGCATCTTAGAAACACACATAGGTAGATTGATTCTGTTTGTGGTATTTGGTTTCACAAAAAAGTGGTACGGGGTCGCGAACATCCTGTAGAAGCAAAAACAATGGCTCTGGTTTTATACATACGCCACTATAAAAGAGGCTAATCACAGCTCCACATTAGACATAGTTGATCATTCTAATAGTTGCATGAAATGCTCAAATTTTTTTGAGCGTTACTTTTATAATATTAATAAAGCAAGCAATACATCAAAGTATACGAATAATAAAGACACATAACTACTAATTCACATACCGCAAATAATAAAACTATGTAAATATCTACATTTAATACTGTAATCGCTGAAGCACAAAACTCGCAAATCAAATAGAACCATGTGATTTTAATTTTAGAGCTCCATTAATACTAAAGCCGATTCTTTAATTAAGCCAAAGTACCAAAAAAAATGCTAGTGAAAAGATCATCCATACTGTGTAAAATAGATGCCAAGGAACGGAGGACAATTCACATAAAAGAGGTACAACTTTCAATTACATGTACTCCATGAGCAAACTTGATATTACCGTTTGTGAGTCATGGAAAATGTTTCACTTCCAAGATAAAAAAAAGTTTCATTGCCAACACATTTTCCAACTCCAGCGACATATTGGCAAACTTATTACAAGTGTACCATACAAAAGTTTAGTGAAACTAAACTACTGGCATTTCTGTCTATGCACTAATTTATGTTAAAAGCAATTGTCAATCATTATTTGACATACAGTGATTCACACAACCATAGCACACCTACTAAAAATGCAATTAATTTACTTTTGTTTGTTTATGTAAAAGTAGAAACACAATTAATGTTTATGACCTTAAAATGAATAATAGGTTTCCGAACTCTTTAAGTCTGTTTGAAAAATATAGGTAATACATAAATAAATTAATTTGTTTGATGAGAGTATAATACTTTTGTACTATTGACGCAATAATTAATTATTATTATTATTATAGTCTAAATCTTAAATACAGGGCTGTTAGAATTTGAAATCCGATATAACGGGCAGTGTGCAAATTGCCGGAAAGCGATGCAACTTTTGTTTTTCAAATGCAGGGCCTATGTTTTTTAAGAAATATGAAAAAGACAACATGAAATGTGCATATGGTTGATAATACAAAAAATGTTAAGGGCCAAAAAAGTTTTCGAACTGTCTCACAATGAAAAGCAACAATCTTGTAAATGAACATTCGAATTTTGTGCGACACCCAACTATTCAGGAAGGACGGTTGGCCAATGTCCTTTGAATGATCGAAGAAAATTACCAGACTGTATCGACTTTTGCGTAGTCAAAGGAATATCAGGAATATCTTTCGACAACTAGTAGAAAAAACTACAACTAAAAATCCCAATGGAGCTCGACACAAAAATGACCAGCAACAAGGAAATTAAATCAACCACAACTCACAATACCCTCGCTGTAAAGGGAAGATGGCAGTTGGGCTAAGAATTCTTCTGAATTTTTGTAGATACTGCTACCGTTACCACCTATGGACCATCATCGCGAGGAAAACTGATACAAAAGTCATGATTATCGATTTTCGGTTTCAGAATATAACAGAGCATAAGGGTAAAAGGTCACGTGATCCTTAGAGCATGCGTGAAGCGGATGGAGTGTCAACATAACCTCTATAACTGCTCCTGATATGGGAATGTTTAGAAATATTCATTGCAGACGCAAATGGTGTCTAAATTATCTTTATCAAACAAATCGCAAACCAAAACAGTCAACCTGAGAAGGCGAGAGATGCGAATTTTTAGGTTAAAATGAACATGAACACGTGATCAAGTCTATTATGCGCTGTCTCATGAGATGGAGTGTTTGGAGTTAACTCCTTTTACTCTATTTTGTAATTAACAAAATGATACGGTGTTTTCTGGTGCATCCATAAACGAACGCTTATCAACAAAAAGAGTGATCAGAACACATAACGAACGCACCTCATGTAAATTACAGATCGGTTGTGAAAATTAGGTCTTTATCTAACATTGGTTTAAAAATTTTCATAGTTTTTAGTAAGTTTGAGCATATAATTCAATATATCTGATAAACAAGATCTTGGTCAATAACAAATTTAGATCCTTTATGTTTATTATTATACAAAGGTTGAAATACATCTTTGCATTTCTGTGGTACTTCATGCACTAATGGATTAAACTGAAATTTTGACATTGAATTTAGATATCGCACATCTGGAATGACAACTCACAAGGCTCAGTTTGGAGTACACATACTCAAAGCTACAATAAATCAGTAGTAACTTTTAGCTAGCTAAACTAATGATCCCCAAATGACGGCTTAGTTTCTTCTTTTTCTATTTACCTACTATGATTATATGTAAAATATACCATCAATCAACGACAAACTACTATAGAACAGTGGCTTTGTCACTTTAATACCTGAAAACAAAAAGCGATAATACTTACACCAAGCACATTCTAAATTACCTGTAATAATTGGGCTTGAATGGGCCGGCCTTGTTCAACCCCATATATCTCGCCTGGTCGTCCGTTAACTCTGTCAAGTGAGCGTCGAAAGTAGGTAAATGTAAACTGGCCACGTATTCATCTGCAAAAATTCACGTTTATATGAAAATATTAAGTGAAAACTGTGTTACCCATTTTTTTAGGTAATAAGTAAACGTCAGATTTGTAACGTCCTAAGGGAGCATTAAAAAGTTCAATTAATGCTAACGCTTGCGTGGCTGACGTTATTGAAACAACAAATGACGGTAAACTTGAGCAACTTAAATTAGCAAGGCGGCCCTCGGCCAACAATATTATGCGTTTTTCATCAGGCCATATAACATGATCGACTTGCGATCGAACTTTCTCCCAAGTAAGATCGGGTGTCCGCAAACTATTCTAAAACAAAGAAGTTCACTGGTTTCACAACCCAATTAATCAAATCAACAAACCACATCGATTTCGGTGTTAGAGTGGCCCATATTGCATATTATGCAGCCACTTTTCATTTTATCCATGTGTTCTCTTGTGACTACGTTTTTATTTCCTGTAGCAGTTATTACAATATCAACATTTCGTATAACTTCATTGAGTTTAACAACACGAAATCCATCCATACTAAACAAGAAAAACTGCACAGTAAAAGGATGCTTACACAAATAACGGTTATCGTGCAGAACACACTAAGCTTTGGCATGCAAGTGATCGGATAATGGAATACTACGGTGGGAACATTCGACTAAAGCAATGGATCAACAATAAAAAACGCAAATAAAATAGCAATTGATACTTCTTTTGTCAAAAAGTTCTCGATAGATGGTACTGGTTACTTCCTTTCATTTTATTAGTTGTAAGTGGCCATGTTTCAGTCGAGAGAATAAAAACAACATAAATTTCTACTCAGCTTCAGAAATGTGGATTTAAAGTCCCTACGCAGCTAGAAAAAATGTGGGCTTGTTGGTTTTGATCTCTTTAACCTTAACCTAAACAATTGTTTATAAAATCTGCACATTATTCATTGTCTAAATAAACAAGAGATAAATATGCAAGGCATAAAGTGTAGATAAAAGTAACAACGTTTATCTTATAATAAACAACCGTTGAAATTTAAGGAAAATAATTATAAATTAATAATATAAATTATCTCTAATATATTGTTGTGTAACAACGCCATGTGGACGTTTTGTTTGGCTCCAGCACCTATAATAACGATGGGTCACTCTGTATGTAAATTTCATTTATTGTTAGCGGTAAATGCTGGTTGGAATTTAGGATTAAGCACAATGTTAATTGTTGTATTTAATTATTTGATGTTTGATTTTGTTTAAATAATTATTTTGCTTATTTTGTTTTGGTAATTGTAAATGTAAAAGACTAGATTTATTTAAGTACGAATTATTTGTTGAGTAGTACTTAGTTTTTCTCCGGTGGTTGCGATAAGGAGTTCCGTTATAACTACTTTCAAGATAAGCACGTGTTATCGCAGAAGTAATCAGATGTTAGTTTTGATGAAGCAGTTAATTCGATGAGAAGATGGTTCAAAAAGTGGAGAAGAAGGGAAAAGTTTTAAATAAGCGAACCGGACGTGCTCTTCGGTTAAGGATGATTTAGTTTGGTGGATCTTGAAACGCCGCCATATTTGAGCGTAGATAGTAAGTCTTGTTTCATTTTAAAGTTAACATTATTAATGTATTAGTCAGTGAGACCCAGAGGCGCCATCTTATGATAAATTCCGACAAGTTATTTTCTTTGTGAATTATTATTAAGTAAAAACACATTGAACGACTGGTTTCGTCACCATTTTGTCTGCCATATTGTAGGTATAAGCGACTTTATTTATTTACAAATTAAAAATGATCGGTGCACAATTTATACTTGATTATCTTGTAATGAAGCATATGAATAACCAGGTTTTGTCCTCATTGCGCCATACAACTATGGAAACCACCATCATCAAATCAGAACGACTGACAAAGTAAGTATATTCTAATTGGTATGTGAAAGAACGAAGCAACTAGCTGGTTGTATACATACCGCCGATAAAGTAAAAGTAAAACATATTCCTACCTTGCTTGAAGTGCACAGATAGGATCAATTTCTGTAATGTAAACAACACATCCCAAACCCTGTAATGCCTGTGAACAACCCTTTCCAACTTCTCCATAACCGCAAATAACAACTTGTTTTCCACCAAACATAATGTCTGTGGATCTCTTTAAACTATTAAATAAAGTATTACAACCTCGTATACTGGTGCACTGACCTCACCTGTCAATAATGGACTCACGACAGCTGTAAAGATTGTCAAATTTAGTTTTGGTGACAGAATCATTCACATTCATTGCCGGGACAGTCAACTTTCCCGCTTTTGATAACTGATACAAACGGTGTACACCAGTTACACTTTCTTCTACAATACCTAAACACATAAACATAACAGTACGCAATAATTAAAATTGATTAAAAGATGCAATACAACGTCATCCCGCACAATCAGACACAGAACAAGAAAGACATGCAATATTGCATACATCGACGTACCTTTAATTAATTTAAACATTGCCGGATACTTTTTTAACATGAGATGCGTGGCATCTCCGCCGTCATCCAAAATCATGTTTGGTTGCCAATTTTCGGCATTCACACATTTATCGATACTCCACCAGAAATCTTCCTCTGTTTCGCCGCGCCATGCGAAAATTGGAAAGTTTGCCTCTGCTAAAGCGGCTGCCACTTCATTCTGTAATACTTGTTTTAAGTACGAAAGGCGAATGTTTATCTATTTTACCTGAGTTGAGTATATATTGCATGCAGCCCAGCGAACGCTAGCACCAAGAGCAGCCAATGTTTCAATTAAAACGGCTGTTTGAGCGTTAATGTGAGTACAGCCAATAATTTTAGCATTTTTTAGGGGTTTATCATCACAAGCTCTTTTGCGTAAGGCCATAATGCCAGGCATTTCTGAAATGTTTCGATTAGCGCTATTATTAGTAGGGCGATCACCGTCTACCTTGCTCAGCAATGTCAATTTCTCTTCTGCCAAATGCCTGTTGATTAATATTACGAACACAAAAATCATTGCTACCTGACGAATTTGATTGAATTTTTTCCCTGGGCGAGACATCGTCACCATCTGAACTACTGCCAGTACACGAAGCTAAAACGAAACGTATCATAAGTATAATAAATATATGAGACCTTTATGTTTTACTCGAACTATATGAATCTGTTGATGAAGCTGATAAAGATCTGCTTCTATATCGACTGGATTTTTTTAAAGCACCCGAAGTTTTCGCATCCTGAAAAAGCAAGCAGGTTCATAAAACTTTATTTTTTCAGACAGCTACAAATCAAGCTAATTCATGCATTTCGAAGGTGACATTACATTAAAAACTACTAGACGCTAGCCTAATCTAACACATTAGCAAACGACAATCTTGGTCAAGTTACTAAAACTGGTTCATCTAAAAATGTACCGCTTAATCTTCCGCCACAAAACATTAACACAAATCATATAGTAAACTAACCAACAGTAATTTAGGTGTATTTCCGCTCCTGAAATTTGAACCAAGGTTCATATTGATGATACACTCTCATTTGGAAGTACATATTAGACTTTCTTGTCGTTCTTCGTATAGTGCCATATAGCAAAAACAACATACGAAGAATCACATACAATTTTCAGTAGGGGACTTTTTTTGACACTCAGCTCGCATTCGGAAACACAACTTTTGATGCGGCTCATATTCAATAGCACTTATCCTTGAACCTGTAGAAATCGATTGGGGAAGGTTTGTTAGTTAGATGAGGAACAGACGGACAATATAGGGAATTAGACATAGACTGTCAATTTTGCAGACAGCGGCAAAAATGTTTCAAAGCTATTATATAATGGAGGCATATTGATTGAATACATATAATTCATGTTAATGTTCTGTTACGACGACGATTATAAACGTTATATTTTCAGACAAACATATACCGAATATTTCTAAGCAGAACAAAGAAAACTGACCAATTAGAACAAACGTTTTCTGGAATCTTCAGAAAGTCAAAAATTGAAAATACCTACCTACAAAATTATTTGATATTTCTTATTTAGACACAAAAAATAAAATAAAATAAATAAAAACTGTGTCTCATTATTTGAAAAATCCAGTGCACTTGGTGCCAATTATGCGATTAGTTTCCAGATAATTAGGTCCAAATTTAACCTCACTTTTGAAAGCCCCTTTCAAGTGGATGACCACCGTTGTTAAAAACAGCACAGATGGTAGTGTGATTGATACATGGTAAAATGTAGGAGTTAAATTACAATTAAAGACCAGTGTGAAAAGAACGGCCCCCTAGTGGCTTCCTGCCGAGTGCGTCCTCAAGTGGCAGATGGCCCTCTGAATGATCGTATGAGACACAGGATTAATGTGAAAATGGGGCAAAGCAAAGAGACATCCAATACCGCATCTCGGACCAACTACCACGTGCGGCTGTCGTGTCGTGGCCAAGGAGTTTGCAAGAGGTAGAACGGCGCGGTCCTGGTACTGTTGTACTTTAGATCAGCCATGACGGAAAACCGTACAAATTATGGGCACCTGTTGACCCCTAGTATAAATAAAATGGATGAACAAGAGCTAACGAAATTGATTTAAAAATGAAGGTTAAATAGTATTGGTAAAATGTGTATTTGGTGAAACTTGGTTTATGGTACCGGACTTTAACAATGTTGAGAAAATTCACTTATTATACTAATTTCATGCAAATTCTAGAGATCATTCAGTTTAAATTCTGCTTGAGAAATATTCGTGCAAGTAATAAGAAAACAGGAAGTGTTGTGCTTCGTTAACACAGCGATGCAAAAAATGTACAACAATTAACAATTATTACACAATAGGAGGACTAATTTGAAATGATCTTGAAGCTATTACTCCTCCTATATTCAAGGAAAACTGAGATAGATACACAAAACAAGCAACTACAAAATATACAAGTCAACATAAAATTGATATAAAGACCAAAAGTGGTAAAGCATACACTGTTACATGTATCTTACCAATTTAGATCTTTGTCCAACAAATGCATTTGAACCGTCCAGACCCTATAAATAAAATTACAAAATTCAAATCCATCATTTTTCATATCGACGATAAACAAAATGTATACAAAAATTACCTCGTCCATTTTTACCACCTTCCTTATCAACAATAAGTTCACAAATACCTGATATAATACATAAAAAAGTTATTACTAAAACCGTCTGATATGCAGATAAGAAAAGATAAATAACGATAAGTTATGTAACAATTTCAGTATTAGTTTTTATGTTACTTATTGGCAATTTTAATCTTGACAAATGAGCACTTTTACGGTATTAATCCCTCAGCTGTAACAAAGGTGAGAGACTTGTACATATAATTACTAATTTGTTTGTTGTGTATTTTGATCACCCCCCCCCCCCCTCGACCGCCAAGTTGGACAACTTTAACTTTCATCTGAAGTAATCATCGTACGAAGTACCTTGCAAGTCCCTTTCGTTAGCGTTCAGTACTTCGATACAGACACGCCTATTAGAGGCTGGGTTATTGTCATAGTGCCCTCGTCGTACGAATTCCCATGATCTTCATAAGCTGCTATCCACTGAGAAAGATGTGTGGACTGCCTATCTTTAGTATAAGCACAAAGTGAATTCGGCAATGTAGACTTGAGCGCAATCTATCGCACTTCCACTAGTGCAGTGTAGTGTAGTCTTACGAAAATTGCAATCGCGCGCACTTAGTTCAAAACGCAGTAAATACCTACAATCGCGATTTTTGTAAGATGACACCGTAAGACTCACTAGCAGAAGTGTGATGAATGAGCTCAAGTTTTCCATCTCTTTCTGACTTTGCATCGACCACAATATTGCTTCACAAGTTAACCAACGGTTACTATATCTCTCTTTATTTCACACCAGGGCTGCTATGTTTGCCAGCTGTTTTTACTACCAGCATAAAATCAAGATGAATGAAAGGTACTTCATATTATGTAAGTTTCTCATATCAATTAAAATTTGGACAAAAACCGAGCACGATACAGCAAACGCCAAAAGCCATTCAGCGCATTTCGTCACCATCATTTCTATTTATAATTAGTTTCTATCCCTTTAACACAAATAAAAAATCTAGTAAAAAATTATGCATAGCACGAATGACGACAACGCATTTTTCTGCAAATAATCGACAAGACGACAAATTTGGACAACTTTCTAAATTGCCTGCTTTCAAAGATTTTTTTTACATATAAAACAAAACAAAAAAATTCGAATTGTTTATTTTTTTTGGATTTTCCAAATTCTAAATTCTGATGTCGATGGAAATACTTTTTTAACTATATGTACAAGGTGAAAATTTTATGTCATTAATTCAAGAAATTATAAAATTATATAGACAATAACGTTTATTTTCAAAACTCGATAACTCGAAAACGATTGAATTTAGGTACATTATGCTCTTTACAAAGTTTACTTAAAATGGAGAAAATAATTGAAATATCGAATAATATAGTGTTCCATTAAAAAAATGAAATTTTGGTGTGCCACGCCCTGTATAATTAAAATTATACCTACTGCCCGTACACATTGAAGAACCCCAAAACTTTTGTACAACACTTCTTTTGATATCTTGTATATTTTTCACGATAAGTGACCGTTTCTAAACTAATCAGCATTTATTTTCAAAACTCGATAACCTGGAAACGATTGAATTAGGTACAGTACACGTACACATTATGCTTTGTACAAATTTTGCTTAAGATTGAGAGAATTGAAACATCGAATAATGTACAGGGTGTTCCATTAAAAAAATGCAATATTACTTTATAACAAACCCTGTATCTATAATTAAAATTATTACTGCCTAGTACACATTGAAGAACCCCAAAACTGTTGTATAAAACCGAATATAAAACTTTTTTTAATATCTTGTATATCTTCCCCGATAATCAACCGTTTCCAACCATCTATATGTTAGCGACAAATCCCGTTACGTCGCTAAACTTAAGTATGCCTTTTACGGACTTTGCCTAAAATCTTAGGTTTGCCCGATATATTAGGCAATGTTCAACATCACTTTATGTAGAGATTTAAAATTGGAAATACAGAGTGTCCCAGTTGAAACTGACCACATTTTAACCGTAAACAAAGTAAGATATAAAATTGCAGTTTCAACTAGTGCGCTTTAACTTTCAAAGACATATCTTAAGAAATGTCGAAAGCGGATACTTACAAAGGGAAAGTCGAGGGTAGGGTCACGATGTATCTGTTTGTGGAGAATGCGAATGTCTCGAGAAATAAGTGCAAAAGGTATTTACAAGAGGACAGTAGAGGGTAGGGTCGGGACAATATATAAATTAAATTGAACAAAACTTGATCAATTTCCTAGGGAAAACGGCAAGGTCTTGATAGAAGGAAGCGAGGGAGGAAGGTACTTCGTCTGTCTCATGATTGCCGACAAGCAAGTTTTGATTTTTTTAGGGGCGGCCTTAGACCTATTTCAATCCCCTCTACACCCAATACTTAATTTTTACACCCTGTATATCAACCGGAAAATAAAGAAAGCGTTTTACGAAATTGGTTGACGCGCCCATTCCCAAGATTTGGTATAGTTGGCCGATGATGATTATATTTGGTGGCGAAACGCGTTCATTTTTTTACTAGTTTAGTCATCTGCTATGTCGTGCGCAAGTTAATTACCTAAATAAGTTCCTTTAATTTACGTGAATCACAATAGCGTTCAACTAATGGACCAAACAATTAGGAGTGGTATAAATATCATTACAATCTCTTGGTTAATTACAGAAATTGCTCAAAGTTGGTTATTGTCGTCAGGAACAATCATTCACACAATTAACTCAGACACAATTAACCGCGATTATGAAAAATGCTGTTTTAATAACGTACAAAGTGCGTGAGTTATTACATTATACAAGCCCGAAACCTTTTAACTCGCTATAAAATATTGTAGCAATGCGGATTAATAAACTATTTTAAATTCTGCGGCTACACCATTAAAGAAGTATTGATTGCAATGACCTTCGCGGATAAATTTAATAAATGAATCCGTTTAAACTACGGAACATAAACAAACGAGAAAAATTCGTCGCGGCAATTTCCTTTAATGCGTTGACCTCAAGCTTGTAGTTTGTGGCTGAAAAGCGCAATTTGTGTTATAAATGATCAAATAAATTGTCAATGTAGATTAAAAAGGCTTATGTAACCGTCTGCAAATCTTACCCCAGGAAAGACGTCTGAGCTTTTTCAAAAATCGCAAAAAACATCGGTCAATAATTCAAAAAATGTGGGTCAAACTGAAATTTAGCGCGATTATGAACTATTACTAACCTTATTTGAAGCTGGATCTGTAATTGGGGTATCCGTAATGCCTGTCAAATCGGATTTTGTACCGAGATTTCCGTGGTTTTCCGTCATTTCGGACATTTTCATCAAATTAAGTGAAGAAAAACAACATTGAACGATGAGAGACTAGCGACCACCGCGAACATCACGAACTCCTAAACTCGTCGTTTGCACCCTTAATTAATTATCAGGATACTATTTCACTTACGAAAAGGGCGACATAATTCATTTAATTACGAAATGTTTACAAATTTGGAGTTAACGAACGGAACGGAGTGCACATTCAATAATAACAACCTTCCATAACGTAGTGCTCATGCTTTGCTGTGGTGCGGGTCGGGGAATGCAGTTGCCAGTGGCGTACCAGGATCGCGTCACAATGTCCGCCATATTGGAATTTTGACATAGACCTTGTTGCTGATTCTGGAGTAAAAAATGTTATTGTATTATTCGATATTGAATAGCAACTACTTTATAATTTTGTTTAATTAGACTGCAGAAACAAAGCCCATTTGCCAAGAATTCCGAGATTGTCGCAGTTACAAGAAGTAGAATTCCAGTTCAAAGACAACGTTCAGTTTATAGTTAAATAAGATAACGCCACGGATTCGTGGATTGTAAAGGAATTCTGACAAAAGGTCCGGATCCCCATTCTCAAAAATGCAGTCATCCACACAGTTTTGTTGTTATGATAGGGCAGTGACCCTTGTTGGTAGGCGAACCTTTATTTCAACGAGCTTCCCTAGCAGTTGCTTACAGTATTCCGGCACAAAAAAACTTAATGAACACATACACACTACAAGTGCATAGGGTCCAGTGACTCCCAGATAGGCGAATATTTGAGCAGACCACCAAGTCCCTGCTCCGTCTTCTGCCATCTTTCAGCGGAAGTTTCTAATGTTCTTGCGAATAGGAGCTCGCCAACCACTATAGGTCCTTGAATAAAGTCCTGCGTTAGAGCCGTCCTTTTTTTCTAGGGGCCTGCCCCCTTACCACAGACCCCTTATTTTTTCCTCGGCTTCTTGGTCCCCTCTGACGAGGGGCCCAGGAAGGGTTTGTTTTAATTATTGTTCACGAGTAGTGCGGAAATGCGGTCCCACCTGGGCAGCACCGCGCTATCGGCACTACACCCCAGCGCCCCGACACGGTCGCTAACACAACACCAATGAATAAAGAATCTTTATTCATTGGCTAACACCTTGACTTGAGATGACCTTCGTCCGCAACAGAGCTGGGAAAGTTACTTTGATAAAGTAACTAAGTTACTTTCCATAGTTACTTTCTAAAAAGTAACTTAAGTTACTTGAGTAACTAGATACTTAGAAACAAAAGTAACTTAGTTACAGTTACTAGTAACTAAGTTACTTTTAAAAAAGTTATTTTAAAAAGATACTTTCGAGTTACTTGCTTCGAATTTCAACACATAATAAGAAACAGCTGAATACTGAATAATCGAAAGTTTTATTTTCATATTATTTCGTTCACAAGCACAACAGTCTCACGTTTACAACTAACAAGGCAAATGGAGAGTTGCAATTTTTTATAATAAGCATCAGATAGTTAAGGACTGTATGGGAGTGTTGACTTTACCATTATTATATACGAGTATATTTAATCTTGCTTTACAAACTAATAAATTTCCTCAGATGTAGAAAAAAGCTCGAGTGTGTTCGGTTTTGAAAACTGGGGACTCAAACCAAATAACAAACTATACACCCGTTAGCATACTTTCCAATTTTGCGAAAATCTTTGAAATGGTTCATTCTCGCAACACCAACATGGTTTTATGGAGGGTCGCTCCACGACAAAAAATTACGAGCCTATCTCCTCAATATTAAATTACAAGTAGGACTGTTTTTTCCTATTGACATTATTTAAACGCATGTAAGATCTGCAAGGTATTTTGAGGAATAATTTTATAATAAATAAAAAGTAACTTTTCGGTAGGTAACTAAGTTCTTTTTAGGTAACTTAGTTACCAGAAAGTAACTTAGTACTAAGTAACTAAGTTCCTCTGAACATGGAAAAGTTATAAGTTACTTTTAGAAAGTAACTAAGTTACAAGTTACTTTTAGTGTTATTTCAAAAGTAACTAAGTTACAGTAACTTAGTTACTGCAGGTAACTTAGTTACTTGAAAGTAACTTAAATTTTAGTTACTTCCCAGCTCTGGTCCGCAACCAGTCTGGGTTTTAGCCCCGACGAACCACTTATAATCGTTACTTCCCAAGGGTTTGTGTCCTTATCCGCCACCCGGGGACGTGTCCGCGACGGGTGCCTCCACCGCACGGGGTATATGAAGGGTACTCAACGTCCAATTTTTAGTGGATTCGGAAGACGGAAGTCGCATCCGGCTGGCATTTGGGTTCCGTAATGAGGGAGTTTACGTACGTTATCCCACGAAACGCTGTAGTCCATCTAGGAGATGATTTCTTTATCCAATAAAAAAACGTCTATAATATGTCGTTTCTTTTCAATCTACAATTATCGTATTAATTAATGTGCGTATTAATATGTAATCAGATACTTAAATTCTAATGCGTTTAATCAATAAATTAATTAAATTAATACGCATTATAATATCAGCCGAATCGCGTTCCGCCGATAAGTATCGCCGCTGAAACACTTCGTCCGCCGAAACGCGCTCCGCCAAAACGTCCTTGTTCGTTAGTCACATACCAATGGTCATATCCATTGGATAAGTTGTAATTAGTTTTCACATTTTTGTGATTTGGCAAACGCGCTTTATAGTTGTGGCGTTACTTACAACGGGGGCGCTGTTTTATCTTCAATTCTTTGAAGCTGAAGCCGACAAAACCAAAGCGAGTCGTTTCAATTTTGCCGATAAAAGTTTCAGAAAGCTCTGCTTGTGAAGTGTCGATTAAATTAAAAGTTGGACACTTCGTGTCACGTAAGGATGGCCGCACCATCGAAGAAATTGAAAAAGGCAGATTCAACGGCTCACCCCGAGTTAGAGCCCAAAGACTTTGATGAAGATACACAGAAAGCCTTAGAAGAAATAGATAGTTGCCAAAATGAAATTGAAGCTCTGAACGAGCAGGCCAGCGAGGAAATATTGAGGGTTGAACAAAGATTCAACCGGCAGCGTAAACCGCACTTCGAGAGACGGGCAAACATTATATGTAAAGTACCTCATTTTTGGACAACAGCCGTATCCTTTCTCAAAAACTATTCTTTTTTGTTGCGTTTGTCACTCTCCTTAACAGTTTCTAGTTCACAAATCATCCAGATTTAAATTCATTATTAGAAGAGCCAGAGGAAGACTGCTTCAACTTTTTGACTGTGATCGACGTTGAAGAATTTGAAGACATTAAGTCGGGTTACCGATTAAAATTCTACTTTACTGAAAACCCGTACTTTGAAAACCCTGTGTTGACGAAAGAATTTCAGCTCGGAAACTCAGGTATGCGCATACACTCTGGACATGCTGTAAAATAAAGAAAAGTGTACGAACTACTCGTTAAATTGTCGATGTAAGGGCGAGACAGACAGTTAGTCTTGTTTCTCTACACTTTTGGTACCCTATGCGTACAATTGTGATTTTGGTCAAAAGATGTCAATGAGCTCAAATTTCCCTTATCTCTTAGATTGAAACAAGACTTTGTGGTTATACTAAACATCGGGTGTCCATACACCGTAACGTGCATTCAAAGCCTGACACTACCGCTCACTATAATTGTAGGGTCAAAATCAATTAAGCATGGGATTGTGTTATTATGATAATTATTTATTGTTCTCTGCAGGTGCCCCAACTTCTTCATCTATTCCTATCAGATGGAAGGAGGATATGGATTTAACGCACACGAATGAGCCAACATGTACAAGAACTGGCCGCAAGCGCCAGTTAGATCAGCGATCATTTTTTACGTGGTACAATGATCATTCGGATCCTACCTCTGATTCTATTGCTGAAATCATCAAAGATGATTTGTGGCATAACCCCCTTCAGTACTTCCTCATCCCTGACGTGGATGTGGGAAACGGTATTGACGATGACGAGGAGGGCGAGGATGTTAATTCTCCCGAGGAAGATGAGGGCGAGATAGAGGACGTGCCGCTAGTTGAACAAAGTGAAGTGGATCAGCCACCTGCACGTACGTCTTCAAGTAATCTTACGATTGGCGATATTAATCTTAATTTTTTTAGAGGGCGATGAACCTGACGATTAATTGTATACTTCATTTCGTTTCATTTTGTATGACCGTTGGTCCGCACCTAATTTTTTCGTTGGATTAAAAATTCAAGCATTTCCTGAGACTTGAGTGTGTACAAACTGATCTGTCGATGACCGTTTCATTCTGTGCACAAATTTGAAAGTAGTTTGTATTATCCTTGTTTAATTGTTTACAGCTTCCTTCACAATGAAACAATTTGCAAATTAATATTAGTTAAACCATGTCTTCCACTTTGTGGGAACACAAAAAGCTGGACGGTGCTGGTCTCTTATTTATAATCTGTAAAATTTTAATGAATTTTTATTAGTAACATCACAAAACATTAAATTATTTAATTCAACTACATACTACCATTGCATGGGTAACTTTGTTATCATCAATAATACAAAAGTTATCTATGCTATTCCACTTAATCTGAAACACCATGTATAAAGGCTAACTTGAAGCTTAAATATACTAATTTTTTCATTATGAAAGAAGCCTTAATACTTTTCATTTAAGTATTTATTATGAAGAAATATTTTTGTTGTTATTACTTTTTGACAAAACTGCAATAAACTGAGATATAGTGTCCATGTGTTGCTTTAATGTTGTTAACTCTTCTGTGTAGTATGAGGACTGCCAGTGCCATTAACTTTCCTTACATTATTTTTTACATGGGAAAGACTAGGGAGTCACTCTGTAGCTTTAGAAAAAATCAAAACCTTGTGTGGGTGCCCCTTTAATAAACAAGTACAAACAGCTAGCCATCTCTTTCTTTTCTTTTGTTTAGTTATGTTTTCGTGTTTAGGTGGAAGGTCAGCAAGTGGAGCTGTCTCCCCTCGCCACTAGGTTTCTTTACCTTAATTAAAATTTTTATTTTACATTTAAATCTTATTTTAATTTATATATTTATGCAAGGTAATGAAATAAAGGCATTTATTATTATTAACTGAGTGCGTATGATGGTGATTTTATCGAAAATTGGTTTGCTTTGAAATTTCTGTCATTAATTTAAAATACTTTATGATGTTCGAGTGACTCTCTAGCTTCTTCAAACATGTGGAGATGTGTTTGGTCAGTACAAGTGATGAGACAGGTGTTAGCACTGTAGGGAAAGCAGTAAAAATACTTGCAAAAAAAAGGGTAGAAAAACGAAGACTTATTTTTAGTGCCGAGAGATACTAAATACCTGGATGAAATACTTTTTTAAGCAAATACAAACACTGTAAAAAGTATTTAAATACTTTGGGAGAAGTATTTAAATACTAATTATTTCTAAAAGTATTTATGCCTACAAATTCAATATGAAGAACCTTTAAAAACTTCACAGGTCCGCTTGCTTTAGTGTGCCAAACTTCACCCGGACAGTCTGGTTTTTTAAAGGCATTAAAAGTACAACAGAATGATTTTTAGAAAGAGACCATCGACTGTGAGTCCTGCGGAGTGAACGTTTCATGGGCGAATGTACCACGGAGGGGTTGAGGGATTCAAGATTCAAGAACCCCCGGTTCTACATTCTCCCCCAAATAACATTCAGTGTTTTTATAGCACATACACATACAGCATAATTTTTAGAAAGAGACCATCGAATGTGAGCCCTTAGAGGTGAACGTTTTTTAAGAGAATCTAACTGCACCGGGGCATACCCCCAGGAAACAAAGATTTAAGGTTCCTTTTCTGTGATCCGGAACATTGAACCCAGATGACATTGTACATTCTTTTAACATGTGCTAGAGGGTATATGCGAATATTCCAAATATCCATAGAATGTTCTATGAATATATACGTTCGTCTGGCATATTCCACACTACTAATGTATCCCTTGATTTTTCTGTATTGAATATTCCGTTACAAAATTCCCTGGATGTACGGGGAATATTCTTTTTGTCACAATCACGTGCCAATTTCAAACCTTAATTACAATACCTACACAAATCCCTGTTTTCGAGGTAGGTATATAACCATAGTTCGTTACATTTATTTTGAATTAAAAATTATTTTTATTATAGGTGGCCAATTATTCACTTTTGTAATATAAAAAATGAAAAAAGTTTTAGTAACTATAGCGCAGTTTCCATGAATTGATCAGTATTTCCGTAACGATCTATTTATGTGTACAAAGAAAAATAAGTTATGGCATAAATATTTGTTATAAATAAGAAACTTAGCATATTGCTATGCATATCTGATTTACAATATACGATATGCTTGTCTACTAAAATTTCAGAAAAATATATTCCATAAATAAGAAATTTGACATTGCGCAGTTTGCCCAAGTGCACATGTGATTTTTACAATATGCAATATGGTGCGTCAATTAAAATCCAAAGCAGAGAATCTCTTTAAAGAAAAGTTCTACCACCTAACAATGACACTTCGCAGACCTAAAACACATATTAAAATAGGGAAATAACTTGTGTTTCAATCTTACTGCATAATCAAATTTTTTTGAAGTTATCAAAATCTCAACTTATGCTACCTACACTTAAAAAATGTTAATATCAATATTGACACCAACCTACTAAGTCACTGAAAGTGAAGCTGTTTTTTATTTGATGAAGTGATTAGTGAAGCACCATCGCACCATGTCAAATGAATCATTTGTTGTAATTTTATTAATTCAAAAAAATTATGGTATCTAATATTTTCAAGGCGAGGAAACATGTATTGGTTTAAAAAATAATGGACCAAATATGGAGGTACTTACATGGATGGTCATAAGATAGGATACAAGGACAAATGTACAAATAGTGGACCATAAACGTACAATTGTACATAAAACTAGGGTGTTGGGGGGGGGGGGTAGTAAGGTTTTATCTACTGGGGCCATTTACGAAACGCCTTTAAGGCCTTAATTATAAGCAGCAGATTTTTTAAACATTTTAACGAGCGACAAGAAGCTCCTTCATGATTATGAGCTTTCTGTCTGTCTGTGCGTCAATTTGTGTACATGAAAACTCATGAACGGTTTAGAATTTTCCAATTCTGTTTTCAGTAATAGGGATAGATCAGTGTTTTTCAAACTTTCTTTTCTGGCGGCACACTAAAATTATGAAACAAAATTTGCGGCACCCCTAAGTATTATAATTTTTTTGCTTTTTTTACAGTTAGTACAGATATAAAAGATGAGAAATCTTGGTTAAGTATTATGTTGTGTTTTTGAAAAGTATAGTCTCATCACGTTCTCAAGAACCTTTAAGATTTCTCTGTTCTCATGATTTTAATATTATTGTTAATTATATGTATTAGTTTGCGATATTTAATATTAAATAGGACGGTGCGTACTGCGTAGCGCAAACTGCAAGCCGCCTGTCGATTATGATGACGCGGATTCGAACCCCCCGACCGCGCTTAGATCACGGTAAAAAGAAGAAACCAAAGGATTGTGAGAACGAAGTGCCAGTGCCAGTGAGATGTTATACCAGCATATGATTGATTAATGAATTATGAACCATAGAAATAAATAAAATAGAAACTAAAAAACAGAATTGTAAAGAAAAACGAATATTCATTTTTTATAATTGTTTTAATTTATGTAATTTTAAGTTAATTATGTATTTAAAAATTTTGCGGCACCCTTATGAACTACTTACGGCACCCACTTGAGAACCACTGGTATAGACAATGGTCACGGAATTAACTGACTAAATTTTGCTCATTTGAACTTTCTGTCCGTCCATCTGTGTACCTACATGCGATAACGGTTTAGAATTTTCCAATTTTGTTTACTAATACTAATGTATTGGTTACATTTATGTGCACATCAAATACAAGGCTCAACATTTGTGCCGACAAAAGTGAAATATATTTTGCTGGCAGTTTTTTTAACGTATGTATAGATGATAAATGAACAAATATTTTATTTACACAAAGGTTAACAAGAAACTATACAAAGACGAGTCTAATACTATGGAAATTTGAACAAAGAACGACAGTACTGAACAAAAACGCATAATTTTATTTTTTTGTATTCTGGAGTGGGTCACTGGGAATGTGAACCGGTTTAGATTGTATAAGTCGCCCTCTTCGTCTAGGTGGTGGACTGAGGACAGTTTCATCAAACGTTACCTTTTTCTCGACTGGCGCAACCGGATCATTTCCCTTCTTGGCAGTCTCTTGTGGGGGGTCCTAAAGCAGACGTTGTATAGATAACAATTAAAATCTTCACCTCACATTCTCTTTATTCTCGCGAGCGAGCTGCTCCATGGCTTTGATGAGGGAACTTATTTCTTCAAGCTCCTGGAGTATGTAATTGTGTTCACCATTGTACTTGAGGTGTTTCCTCTTACTCTCAATTTTCTGCTGAGAAATCGTAACATTTCCGTAAAGTATGGATCTGAAGAGGTGAATTAGTCTCTTTCGAGTGTCCCTAAAAAGCAATGTCGTATATTAATGAAGTGAAATTTTCATCTCACTCTTTGCGTTTTATAAACTCGTCGTGGAAACTGAATATATCATCTGGACTGTTAGCGCTGTTTGACAGTTTTTCCTTTTCAGAAAGAAGCTTTTGGTACTCGAGATTTGCTTTTTCCACCGACTCACGTGTAGTTCTGAAACAAATTAAAGGAACAAGTAAATTATAGGTCTATAACCAAAGTTTGATGATCAGCTTTGAACATTATCTGAAAATTCAAACCAAAACATGGAAAATGATTTCAAAAGATTAAATTGAGGGGTCATGCATGGACAACGATTTTCATCTCCCAAGTGCTTAGAAGGGTGATTCGCATGCAAAAGTGTATAGATCTTAAAGGCGATTGAAAAGCAATAACATTTTAGATATATAATTAGACATTTTTTATGTTGCAATTTCTCCTTATTAATTTATTACTGACCCCAAATACAAATTTACCACTTGCTTAATGTTATTTAATTTCATATCCATACGTCGTGTTTCCGAATGCAAGGCGAGTGTAAAAAAATTTCACTATTGTAAATCGAATGCGATTCTTCGTCTCTCTTGTTTATACATGGGCGAGAACCAATCCTATGGTATGCTTTCAGTATTACACGCGGTTTTAATAATCTTAAGCAGCAATTCTAGTCCTATACACGTAATCAATTCTGCCTTGACATAGAGAGTATCCCAGACATCTGGGTGCCAGCAGCCGCCATAAAAGATTAGCCACCGGGGATAAGGAAGGAAAGGAGGACCTGCTGCATTCTATGCGAGATATGCCGATCACCCAGGTATTCGGCAATTCTCGAGAATGTCCATGAACTTTCTAGAAACTTTCCATTTGCTATATAAGCAAATAGAATTGTGTTTAATGACAGTCCCAACATCGATGCCGAAGTGATTATAAACGAAGTTGCGCTTGTATGTGATAAATTTACATAAATTGTGTATAAGCGAGTGATAAACAATAGTTATGTTATAAATTTATTATTAATTAATTGTAAATAAATAAATCATGTATGTTACAATATTATACTCTCATGCGGCTTTACCCATTTTAGTTTACCTACAGATTTTTCAAATTTTGTACCTCAACTCCTTCTGAGGTATTATTGACTTCTTCAGTTGCATTGGTAGCATTGGCATCCCTATTTGGTACTTCCATAAAATGCTGTTACCCATCTTTTAGTTCTTTGTGTCTCAGGGAGCAATAAAATCCCATCTTTGTCTTCTATACATCTCGACCCATCTCAATCGCTTTAAGTTGTCTAAGATTTTGTATCACTGGATGTAGCAACTTAGAATTTCCTCCGCCATCTTGCCAATCCGCCAAATTCATCCTATTTCCTGGTTTTAGCAGTTTTGCACTTATCTTTAACCAATTTCCTTTGATGTTTGTATTTTTCATTGTTTTGCTTCCAAGGTATATCTTCCAGTTTTTTCTTCCTAGATACTTCCATTTTTATGTCCGAATTCAACCAAGTCGTCAATTTAAGTTTTACTTCTTTCACACTGCAAACTGATTCTTTGACCTATCTCCAATGGGAAAATTATTGGAAAACCGCTTACTCAATTAAAAAAACACACTACTCCATCATTCATCCTAACATTATTAAAGAGCACTGGTACAAAAACATTAGGATTTCAAGATTCTATTATACTACCATAGCAAGGTTAAAATTTGGTGACGGTAAATATCCGGCCCATTTGTTTAAAATTGGTATCCTAGACTCCCCAGCCTGCGATTGCGGAGATCCCCAGAGCGACTTGAATCATCTGTTTTTTCAGTTGTGTTAAGCGTGAGGCCAAAATTAGAAACCTATTAGAAAAGCTAAGCGAAAAACGCGTAGCCTTTCCCACAAACATGACGACCTTACTACATAGCTGCCGTAAAACAATCTACAATGTCATCATTGATTATGTAAGGGCAATTAGATTAAAACTGTAATTTTATGTGCATCCATGGTATTGTAACCGTTAAATTCATCTGTGTCCATATCCTTACATGTATTTGAACCTTCCATGGCCATCCTATGTGTGGTACAAAGTCGCACTGATCGGCTCATGTGCATGAAATGTTAAAACCACTGTCTATTCCTAGTGTGAGGTACCTACATCTAATTTCAGTAGGCAAAATGGGATGACCCCAAAAAACCTTTATAAAAAAACAAAAACAAAAAAACACAATATTTTTATATCTTCTCCATTTTTCCAATTTGCGTGCTGTAATTCCTCGTTAAACATATAATATTGCATTCTCTGCACCCCTCCCATTCACACTTACATTCAACTTAATTTTCCACCAAAAATGGTCTGATCAATCTCATAGCCAAGTTTTACCCTTACATCTACTCTTATGTGCATTTTGTACTAACACTATAATCGATTTTCCTCCCCTAGATACCATTACACGTGTAAATTTACGGATGCCCTTGTATTTACAAAATGTTTTACACACTTGTATATTATTTAATAAAAAAAATTCAATTACACGTTGCCCATTACCATTCAATGTACTTTTTCTACACGCACCCACTGGAAACCCTGGTTCCTTATTTACACCTATGTGACCATTTAAATCCCCCATGATCATAACTCATAAGTTTTTATTTCACGCTTGTCATTTTCATCCTGTAAATTCATCAATAATCTCTTTAGGCTCTTTTTCCGCAGGTCCATATGCAATAATAATCGGCCACAGTTTATGATTCTCATGACCAATTTCGAGCCTATCTGTAATTGCTTTCCCACATTACAGAACCAATTCTATGGTACAAGTGCAACTCCTAGTGCTTGTGACCTATCCCCACTCCAGTATAGATTAAATAATCATATCAGTAGACAGGGCCGTCTTAAGCATATTCTGCGCCAGGGTGCAAAGTCAGCCGGGGTGCAGGCTTGTCAATAAAAAAAAGTACAATGTGATGTTTGGGTTTCATTTTTTTATTTATTAACCTAATATCAAAATAAATTACATTTAATTAAATGGTACATTGAACTTAATCTGTGCTAATAATGGTTAAATTTGTCAGCCTATCTTGAATCATGGTCGGGGGTTGGGCGATTGCCACCTGGCCTGTAGATCATAATGTATGCCAAAGGACATAATTTATATTTTAATAATTGGCTTATAAGACCAATTACCAATTTCAGTTTATTGCTAACAGCAACGATGATTTTGTTAAATTTATTGATGCAAATCATTTTTTAAACTCTAGACATAAGACTTTCAATGGATTACATTTAAATGACAAGGGTAAATGTAAGTTGGTATGGTTTATCTGTAAATATTATATACTTAACCCTATTCTTAAGGAAACCTCAATTAAGCCTAACATAACCGTAATTACCTGCACTGATATTAACAATTCTTTTTTAGAGAAGACGCCATTAGCCAACCTTTCAACAAATTAAAATATTTTACCCCAGACCAAAGACACGACAACATTTCAATTAAAATCCTACATTTTAACATTCAGAGCTTACGAAATAAATGCTTAGAACTTGAAGCAATGGCCCATGAACTAAATTATGATTTTTTATGCATCAATGAGCATTGGCTTAAAGAAGAAGAGATTACCATGTTGGATATTGAAAATTATCATGTTGTGTCGAGTTTCTGCCGTAAAAACAAAATACACGGTGGTGTGTGTATCCTAGCAAGAAATGATTATTCGTGTACATCTCTAAATTTATCACGTTTTTCAAAAGAAATAGACTTTGAGGTCGCGGGAGTGAAATGTCAGGAATTGCAGTTGGTGTCAATATATCGATCACCCTGTGGCAACTTTGATATTTTTCTAGAGCAGCTAGTTAATACATTACAAACAATGAATTTCTCAAAACCAACTATTGTAACTGCCGATTTTAATGTAAAATTTAATACCAAGGATGAGAGGGCCATGCAGCTGTCTGACCTTTTTCTTACGTGCGGTCTAAGGCAAACAGTTTTTGTGAATACTAGAGACGCATCATGTCTGGACAATATATTTACAAATATTGATACATGCTCCACCACAGTTATGGACACATGTTTTTCCGATCATAAAGTTGTTGGGTTTACCTTTGATACAACTTGCTACAAAGATCCCATTAGTATATGCACTAACAGTAAAATAACTTACAGGCCGATCACAAATGCAGGGTTATACCAAATGTATGAATTGTTAGAGAATGCGGATTGGGGGTTTGTCAATGACAAGGGCATTAACGTAGAATTGAAACTTGATAGGTTCATAAGCCTTATTTCTAATATGCTTCGTGATATTTTTCCTTTAAAAACAAAACTTAGGACAACTCGACCAAAGGTAAATTGGTTTAATGATAACCTGAAACAACTTCGGGACAAACTGCGCATGCTTAATGATATATACAAAGCTCATTCGTCCATTGGAAACAAGGAATTGCTCATTAAATTTAAACGTACTTATAAACAGGAATTAACGAGATGTAAAAAATTAGCTAATGACCATCTAATAAAAAATTCTGTTAACAAAATTGCGGCAATGTGGCGTATAATAAAAAACAAGAACAATACAACACCTGAACCATACACAGAATTAAACTGCAATACTTTTAATAGTTTCTTTTCTGAAATAGTCGACCATTCTTTACGCAATCTCGAACCGAGTAACAAAAATCCGTCAGACTATGTGCAATTAGGTAACCTGTCATTCTCTTTTAAAGAGGTTAATTATTCTGTAGTAAGAGAGTGCATCAGTCGTCTGAAAAATAGCACCAGTAAAGACCCACATGACTTCAATGCGAGAATTATTAAATCACTAAAGAATGTGATTGTTTATCCACTCACGAAACTGATCAACATGTGTATAGCTAAGAGCGTTTTTCCGTCTGTATTGAAAACAGCGAAGGTCGTACCAATTTTTAAAAAAGGCTCTGTCGCGGATCTGAATAACTACCGAGCCATATCTATAACCTCCGTTTTCAGTAAAATCTTTGAATCCGTTTTAAAAATGCAAATTGAAGAATACTTTGAGAATAATCATTTGTATAGTGAGTGTCAATACGGTTTTCGTAAAGGAAAATCAGCTACATTAGCTTTAAGTCACTTAACGCGATTAGTGAGCAAACTTAGGCTTTGCGGCTTTGACAACAGTAGTGCAAAATTAATACAGTCATTCCTAACGAACCGTCTACAATATGTGTCATATAACAATTGTCTGTCAACAATATCGGAAGTCAAACATGGTGTGCCACAAGGATCAGTTTTGGGGCCAATTTTATTTCTTATATATATTAACGATCTTCCAAATTGTGATCCAAATACACGTCATATTATCTTTGCTGACGATACAACCCTAATTAATTTATATGACAATGTACAAAATATTGAACCCGGTACGAACTCAGCTGTAAGTAAGGTAGAAGAATGGCTCAAGTCAAATAAATTGCTAATGAATAAAGCTAAAACTCAACATTTGGTATTAACCCTTAAGCGAATGCAGAGAGCTTGGATTATTGGGCGTAACACTTGATTCGGAGTTGAAGTGGGACCAACATGTTAACGTTCAGCGTGTTAAATTAGCTAGAGCACTATTTTTGATTCGCAATTTAATAAGGGTGACTCGAAGGAAACTGTTATGGCAGCATACTATGGCATATTTCATTCGGTATTATCTTATGCAATTCTTGCATGGGGCCATTCTGCCCACTCTCGAGTATTATTTGGTTTGCAGCGCAAATGTATACGATTATTTAAAAACCTTAAATACAGAGATTGTTGTCGTCAGGGTTTTATCGAATTAAATATATTGACATTACCTTGCATTTACATACAGCAATGTTTAATATATACTAAAGAACACATGACTACACTAACTGTAAGCACGGATATTCATACTTACAATACAAGGAACAAAGAGAATCTTTATATACCGTTTCATAGATTAAACAAGACCAAAGATGGCACTACATTTTACGGCATGAAATTTTTCAATGTCTTGCCAAAACAAATAAAATATTTAGATTTGCACGCATTTAAAAACTGTGTAAATAGTTACCTTAAACGAAAAGCTTTTTATTCTTATGAAGAATTTTTAAAAGATAAATTTGATAACATTTAAGTTTTAAAAGCAACAGTACCTTGTGTGATCATGTTCTCGTGTCCTTTGTCTTTTTTTTTTAATATTATGTAATTGTACCTGATGACGTGTGAAAATACTATTGTATAGATCACAAATAATAAAATGAAATGAAAATGAAATGAAATGACACCATAATATGGAACAAGTTTGGTAAAAGCTTGATACCGCCTAACAACAGCACAATTTTGTGCTGTAGCCATGAGTGAACAAATTTATTTACAAACAAACGCTTCAAAACCCTTCACACAGATTCGACTTATGATTTAGCTTTCTTAGCGATGGCGTCGAACATTTTCGTGAGCTTCTCGAGGCCGTTTATTTCTTCGAACGCCGGTACGGACGTCTGAAGCATCTTGTACCATCTCGAGACGTTCTTGTAAGCGGAACGATCGAGTTTGGCGACGTCAAAAGTTGACAAGGTCGTGGCTATGGCGAAGTCGGCGAGCGTTAAGGAATCACCGGCGACGTACTCGTCGGCGCCCAAAAATGTGTCCAAAAATTGCAGAGCCTCTTCGACTTTCTTGTACTTTTGAGGATCGGGTGTTGCGTTACCCCAGATTATCGGATACTGAAAGGTTGCCGTTAGGAAAACTGGCTGTAGGAGAGAAGGTACTTACGTAATAATCGGCGAGGCGTTGGTAGAGGACGCCGTTGTTGAAATACAGACGTTGATCGACTGTTGCTTTCTTTTTGGGGTCTTTTGGATACAAAGAGTCGGTCTTTCCGTAAGCTTCTACAAGATAGGTGGCAATTACTGGACTTTCCCAGAGGGCAAATCCGGTATCAACAATTGTTGGAATGCAGTGTTGGGGATTGATCTGAAAATAATTTTGGAATTTCAACTAAAGTTGTGAACGTTTTTTTTAAATGCCGGCGATGAATTAACTATTGACGAGTAAAGTGAACTTTGACCTACATACCTTAATAAATTCGGGAGTTAAGTGTTCTTTTTTTACCATCAGGTCGAGCTCTTTGTAATTCAAATTGACACCCAACGTTTTCGCGGTCAACTCGATAAAGCGACACGGTCCGCTTCCCGGGGCGTAGTAAAAATCTATCGGCATTTTAGTTGGTGATCACTTAATCCTCGGAAAGCGCCAGACGACGACCCGCACCTTTCAGAATCAAACTACTATTGAATGGAGAATAGGGAACTAAGGCGATCTACAATAAACACAAACAGGTGCTATTTATAGAATAATTGATCTTGACTGTTGCCCGTCACAGTAACTGAAGTTGGGCAATTATAAAATTTGCTGAATCATCTTAATCATGATAATAGTGACATCATCACACTGCCAAACGTGATAGGAAAGTTTTCCCTATCTACAAAAAATCACTGGAAACAATGATAAACAAATTATACAATAATAAGCCTCGCTTTTATTAGATAAATTAATTAAAGGCAACAAGCTTTACTTCAGGAAAACTTGCTACCGTGGGACATTCTTAATTGAACAATGGATAATTCGGTGAAGGAGAAAATTTCGAAACTGGTTGTATTAATTTAAAAACGGAAAATAAGTTAGACCAGTCATTTATATGATTCGCACAAATCAAGTGTCAAAATATCGTTCATGTTTTAGCAAGTAAACCACCTGGGTAAGATGCGGCAAACCTACGAGACTTTCCACCTTTGGATTCTGGATTACGATAGAGGGAGGCTGCACGCCTCAAATTCGGACCCTTTGTACCACCTCCCCGACTAGAGTCATTCGACCCCCCAACGTCACTAAAGCCATCCGACACGTGAGATGAACCTAAGAAGCGAGAGGAAGGCTCTAATCGTAACAATGTCCGGCCAGGATACGCCTAATGGGGCCCCTTCACGTGCATTCCCGGAACGACGCGCCATCGGTTTTGGAACGAAGCGTGGAGCGCCAACTTCTGGCGCGTTGTGCAGTGAATAAACTACACGTTCGCGCCATTTCATTCATTCCAGAGTGGTACTGTCGATAACAAGATGAGTTTGGTAAAAAAAAAGATAAATTGCAGCTGTAATTCTTCACAAATATATGATGGATAACGTAAATGAAGAGCCCAAGAAGCGGAGGAACAGGTCCAAGCCATGGTATTTGAAGAGACAGAAATTTGGCGATTTGATTTTATTACAAGAAATTAATAATACCAATCCAGAGGATTACCACAATTAATGTCACACCGCACAGCACACAAACAAACCTACAGGACTTTTGCTAATGTAGTCTCTCCTTTTTCCTCTCCAATGTTTAACAGCGCATCCTCTTCTAACGGCGCGAAGGGAAGGCGCGAAACGAAACTACACGCTCGCATTTGGCGCGCGGAGGCCTCGCGCCACGCCAGGAATTCAAACATGTTTGATTCCATCGCTCCACGCCAGGCGCGTATCATTCATGGCGCGAGGATGAACTACACGCACAGTTTTGGATTGACATCACTCCAAAACTTACGGAGCGTCGTTCCGGGAATGCACGTGAAGGGGCGCAAAAACGCACCAGGTTACGAAATGGTCCCTTGAAGGCTTCTCTCACCCTGTACTGATTTTGGGTGTCTTGAGTTGCTTATAGCTGCAGCTGTAAGTGGAAGAGCCGGCTGTGGACCATTAAAAACGCTCGTTTTGAGAGAGCCCTAACTCCGTGTGTATCTTGCCAACTCCTCCAGTTGGTGATAGTTCAGAGTACTTCGTACAGATAACGAAACAGCAACATGTATTCCGCCGCTGAAAAGGTGTTCATGTACAATTTGTAAAAGAGTGGGCACAGTAGCAGAGGACTATGCCATCTGACTATTCAGTGCAGAGTATCCAGGCAAAAGGTCTACTATACTACTCCAGTATTTATCTTACGCGGAGTGGGCGGAAAAATTCTCCAAACTGATGTAAAGAAATTCCCGTCTCTGTCACAAAATTTTTACTTCAGCGCAGGTTCGAACACCCGACCTTCGGCTATGTAGCCCAACGCTCCACCAGTGAGCTACGTAGATGGAAGGAAACGCATTTTAAACCTGGTCAAGTACTTCAGATACAATTCTCAGAAAAGATGTTCAACCAGATATTCGATCCAGAACGGTAGTCGCTATAATTAATATTATTGTAATGGGGTGTATTTTTATATAACAACAAGGGAAATCACTAATTAAATGGAGCTAATTGTTGATCAGAACTCATTATTAAGATGCGACAAATCTACTGTAAACTCACCTTTCATTAGAAACGTTCCTCTGTAATCTACGCATAAGGAGTTGGCATGCTAGCATTCAGTCTGACTTGTCGTCTCCCGCGCTCAAGGGTCATGGTCAATTAATGAGGTAACTCATCGGGGGGGCGTGGGCCCCCAGCTGGCGCTAGACTCTCCTGAATCCCCGAACACTCTGGTTGGCGATTGGGGTTGAATGAGTCGTTGGAGAAGGGTTAGATGGAGCTCATACCTATTTGGGAAAGGGTTACGCCGCGCGCACTTGTATTATTTAGGATACACATCCCGTCTTGGGCCTCTGACTAGGACCCTCGGCCAATAGATCAGTAACGTCGGTCTATGTCGCTCATTGCCCTACCTGGGAACAACCTCCAGGTCGAGCTCACCCCCGAACTGTGTGTGTTAACAAAGAGGCCATTATGTTTCGTATTGATTGGGTCGACACCATGATCTACTCGAACTATAGACCGAGAGCTGGCAGTAAAAAATACCACCTCATCGGTTACCAAAGGTTTGCCTCTTTAGGGTGGTTGAACTATTCACAGACTATGTAAAACCGCCCGTCTGCCTCTCGGATGTGGTCATGTTACGTAGTGATTTTAATTTAATTTTTTTAATTTTCACTAATTTTTGCCTCATTTTTACCAATTTAAAATGCGTGCGAAAATGAGTGAAAATATAAGCTGAATATATATTCAAAGCGTCTGCCGCGTCTTGTGGTCACCTCTTTGAAGCAGACGGCCGTGAACATGTCAAAAAAACACCCATCAACTCCCCATTAGTTACCAGTGTCATTTTTTTGCTGAAATGTAGTTCTTGATGCACTTATTTAATCTGTAAGAACCATTTATTGGCAGACGGTCGCATTCGACCAGCAGACGAGCTCAGATTTTAAATTATTTGCGCGTATTAATACTAAACGGTCCTGCGTTCCGCGAATACCAACAGTGTTTCCAATTAAATTATTGAAAATATAACTGGCATACTGTTTCTCTTTGTTTTAATCCAACAGGGGATGTTATTGTCTCATTGGCACAAATAAAACACGTCCTATACCCACCTACCTCTACTTCGTTGATACATAATTACTTCTTTCGTGGGGAAGAAATATAATTTTGACGAAATAAAGTCGTTATAATACCTACACACATATATTTGCTAAGAAATACAAATAAACTTCCGATTGATTTGGTATATAAAAAACATGATGAAACGTTAACAATGTACTGTACAATATAAGAACAATCCTTCAAATCGAATAAATAACAGAACAAACATTCGTAATATTTAATAACATACATACACTGTGAAAAAAATAATTTTGCTTTCATTTTACTATTGTAGTAGTTATGTATACAGGGTGGTGACTTGCGTAACGCATCATAGGGATTTTAATGTATAATTCATAACATGCGATTATTGGCTCCCCAAATTATTTTAGAGCAAAAATGTATTAGTTTTTTGTAGAAAAAATTTTTTTACGCCAAACCGCCGTATTAGTTTTCAATTTTTTTCATATAAAGACGGAAAATTGGGAAAATAAAACCCGCATCTTTTTCAATAATCTGCGATGCCATGGAATTTTCTAAAACAAAAAGATATCCAGTTATCAATTATAGTAGCAGTTCGAAATGGATTTTATGATCGACTTGGTTACTGTCTTGCAGTTAATGGTGACTTATTCGAACGTTTATTGTAAATTGTTATATTAGAAAACCGTTTTTAGTAATTTGGCCTTTCTTTATGTTGAATTCGCTGTTTTAAATATAATACTTTTTGATAGAATTTGATTTGTTTTATAGCAAACATGACGGATATTGGCGTAGTTTTTGTATTATAAAATTCCATGGCATCACAGATTATTGAAAAAGGTAGGGGTTTATTTTTCCAATTTTCCGTCTTTATTATGCAAAAAATTGAAAACTAATACGGTTGATTGACGTAAAAAATTGTTTTGTACAAAAAACCTTAATACATTTTTGCTCTAAAATAATTTGGGGAGCCAATAATTGCATGTTATGAATTTTACATTGAAATCCCTATGATGCGCTAGCCAAGTCACCAATTAACTACAACAAGGACAATCCTACTAGGATTGATAGTAGATACAATGATAGATACGCACCACTACAAAATGGTACGCTCTGTAAATAAAATTTACTACTACGAATGTACGAAACGTAACAAAATGCTTAAAAATTATCCAAATCTATGTCTTGTGAATTTTACCACTACGCATGGTTCGCAACGAATAGCGAGTGATGTGTTGCAACTAATGAAACTAGTAGACTAAAAAAAATATCTTAAGACAATTTGTGTATAGGTACCTGTATGAAAAGATCTATTTTTTTAGTTGAATAAATCGCAATCCGTTAGCCCAATCAGTCCTCTTATTATCTGCCTTCCAAGATATTAAAATGTCCCTAACATCCTAGTTTGCCCTTTCTACACTTCCCTGGTTCTCAGAGTGCTTTGGTTTACCGTGAATTATTTTAGCTTCGAACATAGCAAATTCATTTATGACTGCTGCTCTTCCATTGTCACCGAGATTGTCACATTGGAGGATGTAAGGAGCTCTATTATACAAAAAATGTCTAAAAGATTGTAAGGTACCTCCGTAACTCTTTTAGATTTCAAAGGTTTTAAAAATACTAATTTTGTTAGATGGTCCTGATAATTTGTTAGATGGTCCGTCTGTTCTGTTTGCATATCTATAAGATCCACCTGCCTCTTAAGTTTATGTTGTTGCTACGTTTTCTACGTCACCAATGGTTAAAATGTCATACCTACCTCACACTGACACTGGAACCGAATTTATTAAACTTTGGTCGTTTCATATTTGCCCGATCCTAGGTTTGTCTGTTTGGAGACGGTCACAGCCCGAAATTGAAAGGAAATTCGGGCTTTGGTCGTTTTAAATAGCTCAAAAAAACGACCATTGGCCGTTTTCGGGCATGGCGCCCAACATATATATTATAATAACGACTTATTTAGTCAAAATTATATTTGTTCCACACGAAAGAAGTAATTATGTAGCAACGAAGTAGAGGTAGGTGTGTATAGGACGTGTTTTATTTGTGCCAATGGGATTAATAACATCCCCTGTTTTAACAAAGAGAAACAGTATACCAGTTATATTTTCAATAATTTAATTCGAAACACTGTTGGTATTCGCGGAACGCAGGACCGTTTAGTATTAATACGCGCAAATAATTTAAATTTTGAGCTCGTCTGCTGGTCGAATGCGACCGTCTGCCAATAAATGGTTCTTACAGATTAAATAAGTGCATCAAGAACTACATTTCAGCAAAAAAATGACACTGGTAACTAATGAGGAGTTGATGGGTGTTTTTTTGACATGTTCACGGCCGTCTGCCTCAAAGAGGTGACCACAAGACGCGTTGAATATATATATTCAGCTATTATTTTCACTCATTTTCGTACGCATTTTAAATTGGTAAAAATGAGGCAAAAATTAGTGAAAATTAAAAAAGTTAAATTAAAATCATACGTAACATGACCACATCCGAGAGGCAGACGGGCGGTTTAACATTGCCTGTGAATAGTTCAACCACCCTAAAGAGGCAAACCTTTGGTAACCGATGAGGTGGTATTTTTTACTGCCAGCTCTCGGTCTATAGTAGATCACTCAGCGGTATAATCAACCCGGGACCGCGTCATAGGCACATGCACCTAATGCACTCTAAAAGCCTAGGAATATATCCGGATATCTGCGAAGGGTTTTACCTAATAGCCCAACAACAAAACACGACCAGCACAATATACTTACCACCTACTCGTGGGAGACACTCACTGCATTAAAGGGCTATTACACCAAACTCACGACTACTTCCGATGCTCTACTTAGCATTCTTTACGATCGTGACCAGAGCGCGTACGCAACTAACAGCCTTAACCACGATCCCTTAAGACCCTTGCATATATGTGCAGAATCGCACATATTTGACCAGTCAGCTTGCCACATTTATCAGTAGGGGTAGATATTTTACTTTTTCGTTATTAAGGACTACCCTAAAATATGGTTCTTACATTATATTATAAGATATAATTATATAATAATAATATAGCGACTCCTCCTCTGGATCGAATATCTGTTTGAACATCTTTTCTGAGAATTTTATACCCGAAATTCACGTACTTCACCGGTCTAATAATAATGCAAGTTGCGATACGGTATCAGCCTCCGATTTGCAATATTTATTATAAGGGGTCATAGGCTAGTTACCCTTTTTTTCGTTATACTTATGGTAATGCGGGATTTCAATGCCCAAAACAGGTGGGGATCAATACGTAACTAAGCAATGTGGCAAAACCATTGAAGATGTTCGATACTTATGTATTATGACGTCACTGCTTCTGTTACTACTCCGTTGGTATACTCATGCGAAATTTTAAGCCTAAATTTCGCATTTGTAGACCCCATAAATGCCACATTTGCAATACAAATTCGTTTTACCTCGCCTTTCTCAGCGACTGAGGTTAACTTTGGTTATGATCGTAAAAGGTGGGCTTTGTCGTGGTTGTGGGTTGAGTGGCGTTATATCCCAGGCCCGACGGGGCGTATGGCAGCCCATCGAACCTCAAGATCAACTACGGAAACGCCGCGCTGGGCAAAAGAAGGTCCGCTTAACACTCCGTGTCCTGCATCATCCAAGCCACCACAGTCTGTGCAGGCATCACTCTCCCTCTTTCTTATTCTTTTCCCCATGGCCTGTTAGAAATTGCGTGACTAAATAGTTGGTTTCCCCATGCTTCCGTCTTACCCACCTTTTCAGATTCCCTATCACCTCCTGCGCCACGACTCTCATGCCTCGAGTATGTCTACTTTACTCTTCCCTTCATGCCTTGCCCAAATCTTTAGCCTCAGCGGAGGTGTACTGGCCACCATAAATAGGTCCTTAGTAGATACTGTTCGATAAGCCGTCGCTATTCTTAAGGCCATTTTTCTTTGTACTCTCTCTACCATTTCTCTGGCCCTCCTTGTTTTTATTGCTTTTCCCCACACCTCGCAACCATATAGGATCACATTGTCAACCACAGAGGCCAGCACTCTCTTCTTCTGTTCTCGTGATCCCCCGATGCTCCACATTAACCGGCTCAGCTTCTCTTCATTCTATTTGCCTTATCCGTGGCTTTTTGGGCAAGTTGCATATAGCTGAAGCTCTTATCAATAGTTAACCCAGTATCTCTATTTCTTTCCGAGCCACTATGTCCGTTCGATCGACTGTTAGGGTGACCTCCGGGAGTTTTTTTCTTCCCGCAATCAGGGCCACCTGGATTTTACTGCCCACCGGTTTGTGACCTTTCTGCTCCATCCAATCTTGTACTTTGTTTATGGAGGTCTGCGTCTTCTGTATCGCTAGCTCAATTTTGCGGTCTGCCACCACCATCGCCGTCAGCATACGCCACCATAGCCCCTCCAGCCGTATGACCCCATCGTAGGCAATGTTCCACAGGAGTGGACCCAGCACCGACCCTTGTGGCACCCCTCCAATCACCTTAAACTGGTACCCTTTCCCGGAAGGTAATTTGACCCGGTTTCTTCTGTTCCTCAAATAACTGTATACCACCCTCCTTAGATACCGCGGTGTGCCTTTTCTTTTCAATTCCTCTAGTATGACATCTAAGAATGTGATTTATTGTCACCTCCCTAGTATGTCGCGTACCTCTTAATGCGGTTTCCGCTACTCTATGGATCTCTCCAACTTCCCTATGTGACTTATCATGGATATTGGTCTTACTGACCCCGGGTCCTTTTTTGGTATGAGGATAACAGACGCCTCCCGAGGCAGAGGTCGGATGGCTCAACACCGACCCAACCGAGGACGAAGAAGACAAGATCGAGTCACATGCTTCTATGGTGTGTTCACTGGGGACTGTGGAGGCGGTCCGGAGGTGTCCCTTTCTACCTCTACGTCAATGTTGTTTAGATAAGATATCGTGAGACACTTATCTCACGAAGCGCGATCGATAAATAATCTTTTGCTTGACGCTGCTTTGAGAATGTACGTTTACTGTGTTGCCATCCTTTTTTTGACCATCAACAGTGGTAAGTCTCAAACGGAAAGTGCTAATACGGAATTTACTCACTTCGTCAGTTTCAGTTTGCCCTCTCCAATGTTACCTTTGCATTGCCTCCACGACGAGCGATTGTAACGAGGGCAACGTTACCTCTATGGCACGCCAAACCTGTCACAATTCGTCTAATCCGGAAAGACCAACCGAAACGGTCTGCGTTGGATATGCCTACTCGGGTAAGTTTGTTAAATCGTACTTTTCACGTGGATGTTATGGCGTCTGTACCAGATGGAGATCAACAAATTGTGACAAGAGGTTGCGGTTACATTTTTCAGGACGTCAACATTTGCTGGTATCTTAATTTGACGGTGCCGGTTGTGTCGTGCTCCGATTGTAAAACTGACTTGTGTAACGTGAACCGTATGTTGTAAACTTTTAATTGGTTGTGCAGTTGCAGTTTTAATTGTTTGTACAGTTGGAATAGCAAAACTATAATTCTAGAAATGATCCCCCCCAAATTAATTTGTTCATTAATTTTGCAGGAGTTTGTTCTGGCAACCTTGCATTACCTAAATTAAATCAGATTTATGTAGAGCCTGTGTGTTAATAACAGTTCTCAGACTGTTTTTTCTTTACTTTTTAAATAATAATAATGCCTATCTATGATATTTACCGCTAGCTTCGATCCTTTACTGCAAAAGAAAATCGACGCTAAGTGATGGTCTGATAGGTATGATTACATGCCTACCAGAGGGTTAACGTGGACAAATAAATTACTTATCATCACGAGTGAGCACAAAATTATAGCAAAGGAAGATGAGTAATGAGTTGTCGTCTCAGGAGTTATAGTGCAATTTGGGTTGCCTATCCCTACAGTAGCGTTTTGATTTTTTTCTGAAGGTCGCCAAACTTATTTTTTTAAATGTGCTGACGAATAAAAAAGAATTCCACAAAAATTAGGGTATAAGATTCTAAAAAATCGTTTCGTTTAAAAATTTAGAATTAGGACTGTTGTCAACAAGTTGGTATTGATCCATGGATGTCGCATCATTACTTATTCGTGTCCCATGATACACAGCGTGACATATACTAATCAATAATGGTTTTAATATTAAATTAACCTCTATAAATCAATGAAACGCTTAGAAAGCGCGCGATTTCGAATTCCAAAGCATAAACGCCGGTCGAATCGGGGACGTACGCGTAATTTACGTTGCGTTACGACAATGATTTTAAAAATACTAAGTCGAGCGTTACGGTCGAGGTGGGGCCGCGTCCTTCAGATCGAGGCAAAGAAAGAGGCGGCAAACGGAATTTGAAGATATTTTGCCGCTCAAACGCTACGCTATACGACTAGGTAGGTCAGAGAGTAACAGGTAGAAAACATTACAGTTAAAAGCTAATGGGAGAACTAGGCGTGCCTCTACTAATTATCTAATCAAACAAATGCGTAATTCGGTCGTGTTGTTTACTCACAAGGAGGACATTTAAAGCGAGTTCATCTCCTGGTGCTGAGGTAAGCATTTTTGCGTTGCTATAGAAACGCGCATTGTTTTGCTTAAGACGAAATGGAATCGCCAACAAGTTCGGATCTTCTACCCGAGAAAAACATGCCAATTTTCGACGATCCGGTCAAGAAGCAGCCACAGAGCTACGGATATTCAAAGTGTACGTTGCAACGACGCTCGGAACGCGTAAACACGTTAATTTCCAGTGAGCATCGTTCTGCAAGTCACCTTTTTCGTGCTGAAACTGATCATGTTTATCTCCGGTGTTATTAACGTAAACGACTGCCCTCAGCAGCCCATGGTGCATATCTATCTTATCGTTACGGGTGAGTAATTATTAGCTGGTGGACTGATAAATTAAACAAATTTCTTCGTAGGTATTTTGGGAGTGGTCACAAAGTGTATGTACATAATTAATTGCAAATACGAAATCAAAGCGCTCCATTACACTATTAATTTTCTAAGACTAGTCGAGTTCTTGTGGATGATTATTGGTAAGTATTGAGTTTCGGCTTTCGGGTAAAATTTGGCCGAGAGAAAATGGTGGACATTATTCTTAACATTGTCGGGGAGAAGGCAGAGAATTTTCTATCTATCCAAAGCAATTGACGCCTTCCCACGCAGTCTAGGTGCTTTCCAGTTCGGATTAGCACTCTTAAATTGCTTATCCTGCGTTTCGGGACATTTGTACGCGATTGCTAAGTTCACGTAATTTTAAGTAACTATGGAAGAGTCTAGAAAGCTCTCACGCTTCTCAGGAAACTAAATAAGGGAGTCCCCAAAGCGTTGATTTTCTTTGAATTGTGTGATTCTTAGTTTAAAGTTAGTTAGCGGTGGAGGAGGGCACAGCTGGGCAGTATTCGATTTTGTAAATACTTTTTAGTATTCAAATCCTTTAAAGTATTCAAATACTTTGTAACTTTTATGGAAGCAGTATTTGTATCTGTAACTCAAATACTTTCACAAATATTTAGTATTCGAATACTTCGCATAGTATTTGAATACTTAACCTTCCTTTTTTACCAAAAATCGGCTACACCAAAATTTCAAGGGCTGTAACTTTGGAACTGTTTGAAATTATGGATTCTACACGCCACATTCTATAAGACCATTTTTTTTCCGGGTCAATCTGAGACAATTTTTTTTCGTGCCCCAAAAAAAGGCAGTGGTTAACCTTCCTTTTTTTACCAAAAATTTTTCTTATTAATTTTGGTGCGTAGAATCCAAAACAATTCGTACTTTTTCGATCAGACTTCTCAATCAAAAGTTATGGAGTAGAAACCAATTTCGAAAGAAAATTCAAAGGGCTGTAACTTTTGAACTAGTAGCCCAATCTTGGAACTGTTTGAAATTATGGATTCTACAGGCCACATTCTATCAGAAATTTTATTTTTAAATTTTTAATACATTTGAGTGACAAGTATTTGAATACTTTTTACTGTATTCGAATACCTTTGATAGTATTTGAATACTTTTCAATGTATCTGTATCTAGTATTCGCTGGACGTAAAAATATTTAGTATTCAAATACCTTTGATTTGTGTAAAGTATTCAAATACTTTTTTAAAGTATTCTGCCCAGTTCTGGAGGAGAGTAAAGCAAGCAATGGATTGCCCTCTAGTAGCCATCATTGGAAACTACCATCACCTTCTCTTGGCGGCACTTTATCCTAATGTTCCGATGTCACCAGTGAAAAATCTAACTTAATCACTTTTCAGGGTGCTACTGTATCTTTTCGATCTACCAGCCCAATTATTCGCCATACTTTGACCGGAAATACTGCGATCGGCACGGGTACCTAACGGCCTTCGCTCTCTTAATATTACACTTACTTTATTTTGTTTGCGTTACAATTATGACACTCACAAAGTTTTCTAACGCGTGGTGAGTTTCGACAATTAACCATTAATTAGTTAGTAGACAATGTACAATCAAACGCATCTCAGGCAATAATGACACTCACTGTGATACGTTTCATCCCCACTGTTATGTTTTTTTGATAATAAATATATTTCTGTAATAATAATAACAATCTTTATTCGTCGGATTACACTAAATATATTCAAACATATTCAGTGATACAAAGAAACAAAATACCAGAACACATCCTTGTGATTGCTGACACGTACGATCACCGACAAAAATAATGATAAAATGAAGCTAACTGCCGCTTAGGCAACCAACCATACACTATACAAAATGGCAACATTGGAAGGTAAGCTTTTTCGATTTTGGTTGTAAAAGCAGGTTTGCGTACTGTTGACTTGGGTGTAGATTGTTTGATCAGTCTAGTGGCTTCAGCATACGACACTCCTGTCGCTCTTACCGTGGGCGCTGCGTTGCCTTTTGGCGTATCTGTTTGGTGCTGGACTGTTGTTTTAGGTTCTTTAGCTTTCAATGGTTTTTCTCTTAGGGCGTGATGGAGCATGCTTTGGTGTTTTCCTTGGATCGCCTCATACGTCATGGTGCTAAGAGCCAAGATTATCTTCTGGAGGCCGTTTACCTGCTGAATGTTGATAACACACGGAATTTGTGGTGCTGTTATTAGTGATTGTCGATCAATTATATTTAATTTTTTCGACTGAACTCGATAGAATTTAATTACGTCTACGCAATAGTGCAAAATAAATACTCCAGCAGTGGTGTTTTAATTTTTAATTAATAAAACGGTTTTAGCAAAATAATGTGTTTATTCGAATTGTGTACCTAAAGGAATCCCAAGCTAATCGACATAAAAGGTACGTTATCACTCTTGTGACGTCTGCGTCTGTGTTCATTATCCGCAGCTGTACGTAATTCGAAAGTTTTTTTTTTTTTCGATTTCTACGAGTTCAAGGATTTTGAATATGAGCCGGATCAAAAGTCTGGTTTTCCGAATACGAGATGACTGGAAAAAAATTCCCCTATGGTTTTGTTGATTGCTTACGAAAAGGTATCAGACATATAAGAAGCTCGCTCCTTGCTGAAAAAATGGTCGAATGTACAAAAAATGTTTATTTTAAAGTAAATTTGTGGAGAGGCTGATAAATAACATCGCAAATGTTTGTATATCACAGAGTCTCTTAAAATTTAAATTCGTTCACTGACTGAAATGTATGAAACTTGCACGCTTTCCAATAACGATGGCACTTTAAAAACTAGTAACAAAACGAACAAAATATGAAATCACTCGCACAAACAAGGTAACATTAAATTAGGTTGACTAGACAGATAGTTTACCTTAAAACCTATATCTTAGTTAGATCTAGCTCCGTAAACGCTAATAAGAAACATAATACGTACTTCAAGGAACCAAAAAATACTTTGTCTCGCGCATCCGAGTCTATCAATTTGGAACAAATACTGAGATTTAGCAAATGAAACAATAAAAACCAATTTAACCTGAACACACTTCAGAGTGCTCATCCCACGCGACGACCTGAAACAATAAAGTGAGCCACGATCGACAACGACGTCACCTACCTGACACTCGCGACTGCAGTACCACTGGTTCCCGCAACCCGCACACACGAACTGCGCAGGTTTCTGATTGCAGCCCTGACACTGAGGAACTTCGTCTCCGCCGTCCGAACTGGTATCGGCACACTTGCGGCCGTCCAACGCCTCGCTCTCGTCGATTACCAGGCGATCGGCGCTATCCTCCGCCTCCTCTTCGTCCTATGCAGCGCGCATTTAGTGCGACGTTGAGTAACGTCAACAGGCTTACCTTCTCCTTGGCGACCACATCGAATTGGCCACCCACTGGAGTGATAGTTATTTCGTTCCTCGCCTGTGCGTTGACAATGTAAGTTCGAAAAAGTCCGATATCGCACTTACCTTGTTGTTAGAGAGCATGTCTGTGACCGAAAGGGGGTTGTTGTGCGGTGACATCGCCGCCCTCTCCGGTGCCGTTAGAAGACGGGCCAGCGTTGGACTGAATGTTGATTTACTGTTGTCAGATCTTGATTGTGTCTGAAAGTAAGAATTATCATTTGCGTCCTTCTACCATCAGAGCAGGCTATGGAATAGCGTTTTATCAATCCACATACAGAAATGATCTGCGCGCGCCACTGCTAAGCGCGGATACTGCAGGTGAGCGAAAGGAGAAAACTAGACGGAAAGTGCGTCTCTCGCGCTTCTGTCGGTCGCATACAATGGACATTGCTGCGACTAATGTTACAAATCATTATACCTGATTATAATTTTAGTTGGCATAGTAACAATAATAAAAAAAAGTATAGTCAATTTAATGTTTTGAAGGAAAATAAAAATACATTCTTATATTCTATCACTATCCCAACATCTGGCGACCGGAATGGCAACAATAGAAAATCTGCTTATTCGGAGAAATAAACTCAGAGAATTATTTGAAAGGCAATCGAAAATTGTACGAGGTGATTTGGATCAAAGAAGACCAACTAATGTTTCTATTGCAAAGCTGAAAGATAGATTCAAGTCTTTGAACGAGTTGGACAAAAGAATCGAAGTTATCCAGGAAGAAGCCGAGACCGAAATACAGTTGGAAGATGTTTTTAAGTATAGAGACATTTATACAGAACTAATTAGTGTGTCAGAAGATACTAAGGTAACCCTTGTAGAACCACGTAAGTTTAATCATACACATAAGTTACCTAAATTTGAATTAACAAAATTTGATGGAAATCCCCGCAATTATCTAAATTTTGGGGGACATTTTCAAAAAATAGAATTATATGTTAGGGATTTATTGTCTTTGATCTTAAATCGTAGTAGTAACATTACCTTATGAACTCTATGATAATCTGCAAGGACAATTACGTGCTTTAGAGACTTTAGGTGTGACTACTGACACTTATGAAGCTATATAAATCCATTAGTGGAAGCAGCTTTACCAAAAGAGGTCATTATGAACTGGGAACGACAACGTGCACTCAAATCATCCACAACGGAAACCCAAAGCACACCAAAGATAACCGATTTGATGAATTTTTTACGTGATGAAATTGCTGGTTTAGAACGTTTAAAATTTATCGATACACTATCAATGTCTAAATCCATTGAATCTACTGCTGCTGTATTACATTCAAGCACTCCAGCAACAGAACAATTTCTAAAATACAAGGATAGATTTCTTAAAAAAGAAGGCAAAAAACAAGAATGTCTCTATTGTAAAAAGGATAATCACATTCTTGCTAATTGTTTCGCTGCTCGTAAAATACCTATAAAGGAACGATTAGAGTTTATTAAAACACATAATTTGTGCAAACAATGTCTTCGGTCTCATCAATAAATGTGAAATTTGTGATGAGCAACATCACACTTGGGCATGTGAGAATAAAACCGTCAAAACAGTTGTCGGTAATCATACCGAAACGCAAAATCCCATTTATTTGCAAACGTTAACGTGTTCTTTAATCACAACTAATGGTCCTATTGCAGTACGTGTTCTACTTGATAGTGGCGCTCAACGATCGTACATCACTACTGACTGTTGCAAACGTAATCAATTACAGTCAACTAGAGCTATTGATCTCACTCAAAAACTTTTTGGTGGTGTTACCATTCCTTCACGGAAAGTTCAGCAATATGACATCAGTTGAGGAAGGGAAATTTTACATTGGACATGAGAGCGTCAGAAACACGGACGATTTCCAATGGCGTCCCATATAGCCAAAACACACAACTTATCAAAGAGTTGAAACAGTTACATATCACTGTATCGGATATTTCAAATCATCAACAATTTGGTAGCGTAGATATTCTAATTGGTGCTGATTATTTGGGAAATATTCTCACTGGTAATCATCAAAATACAATTGTTGGTCCCATTGCCATTGAAACCTTGTTAGGGTGGACTGTTTTGGGCAACATTAATAATGATGATTCAATAGCGCAAGTACATTTATGTCTCAATGTCACAAACGTTTGGCAATTAGATGCTATTGGCATTAAACCCGACGAAATGAATGTGAAACATAACTTTGAATTATCAATTACACGTGGAGAAAACGGTCGATATAATGTGTCGTTACCTTGGAGAGAAGGTCATCCTCCTTTAGGGACAATAAAAAGGCGGCAACAGTTCGTCTTCACAGAATCACCACACAATTACATCAACAACAAAATTTTGATCTTTACAATGAAGTGTTTGTAGATTGGAAAAAAGAAGGCATCATTGAAAACGCTCCCCCTGAGATCGAAGGAATTCTTCATTATCTACCACATCGACCTGTATTCAAGAAATCGGCAACTACAAAAATTCGTCCGGTTTTTGACGGATCAGCTAAAACAGATACTGGAGTTTCCATCAATGAATGTTTAGAAAAGGGGCCTAATTTATTGGAAACGTTACCTTTTGTATTAACTCGTTTTCGAGAAGGATCCGTTAGTATAACAGCAGATCTTCGCAAAGCATTTTTAATGGTTGGAATACATCATAAAGATCGTGATGCTTTACGATTCTTATGGTATGATACCAGTGGAAACATAACAGGATATCGTTTTCAAAGGGTTCCATTCGGGTTAACGTCTTCATCTTTCCATTTAACTGCTACAACTCAACATGAGTTGAATGAAATTAAAGGTAACGAATCAACTGTTACGTTGTTAAAAAAGGGCTTTTACGCTGATGATCTGGCGGTTTCTATGTATAATATTAAAGATGCAAAGAAATTCCAAATTGAAGCTCAGGCCTCAGCAAATAATGGAATTAGCAAAATTCCAACTTAATTCGTGGGCGACTACGGGCGACGAACGTGAATCTATATCTATTTTAGGGTTACAATGGGATACCAAAAATGATCTTTTATATATAAACATTGAAGTTGCACCCAATATTTGTTACACAAAACGTACACTGCTTGCAAAAGCCCAAAGCGTGTTTGATCCAATTGGATTTCTCTGTCCAACACTTGTAATAATAAAATTAATCTTACAAAAGGCTTGGAAAATTAAACTTTCGTGGGACGAACCTTTACCGTCTGAGTTAACTGTTGAATTTCAAGAGTGGTATCGACAATTACCAAAATTAATATGGTGTCGTATCCCAAGAGCTTTGGGTGGGTCATTACCTAAAGAAGCTAAACGATCATTACATGTATTTGTAGATGCATCAAAATCAATTTATGCAGCATGTATTTTTCTACGTTCTGAATATCAAGGTGCAGTTGAAGTACAATTAATTCAAGCGAAGAATAGAATTGCACCTACAGATCGTATTACAATTCCGCGAATGGAATTATTGGCAGCATTAATTGGAAGTCGCCTATATCTAGAGATTTAAATTGGGCACATCTTCCGGCATATTTTTATTCTGATTCAATGGTGGTTTTATGTTGGTTAAAACAACCTACACTATGGAAAAATGTTGTATCTAATCGAGTGCGTGAAATTGCAGAACTCACAAATCTTGAAAACTGGCGACACCTTCCTAGTGAAATGAATCCAGCTGATTTACCAAGTCGAGGATGCAATGTTGGACAATTGATTCAATCACAGTGGTGGAAAGGACCAGATTGGTTACGTTGTTCCATTGATCAATGGCCAAAATCCAACATTGAACATGTGCCAGAAGTGGACTCTAAAAGAAATCAACAAACTATCACTAATATTTTTATTGCATTAGAAAATCGAGTACCTTATGAAACCGGCACGAAATATTTTACTTCATTTGTACGAAGCAAAAGAATGATCGCAATGTTTTTTCGATTCACGTATAATGCCAGAAAGAAGAATATAAACAACAGAATTAAAGGCCCATTGAGTATCGCAGAATTGAGGAATGCTGAAGAAATTTTATACAGGTACATACAAAAAACAAGTCACACTAGGGATCATATTAAGAACTTGGATATTATTGAAGAGAACGATTTATTGTACGTCGAAACCAGAGTTCTAAACAACCCAAATCAACCGTCAACGAGTCTTGTTATTTACCTGGAAATAATTTTCTTGTTCGTTATTGTTGTTCGATATACGGCCAAACCTGCTATACATCCGACCGCCTAATTTACCTGCTGCACGAACGCAACCAGGAGCCTCATTTGCCGTCACAGAAGTTGACAACTTTGGACAATTATATACAAAAGACAATGGTAAAATGTGGGTTACATTATTTACGTGTGCTGTTTGCACGACGCGGCCGACCATTAAAAATGTATTCAGATAATGAAACAAATTTTATTGGAACTATCAATATACTGAATGCTTTTGAAGATCACTTAGAGAAAATTCCAAAAATTAAATGGATTCGGAAACCACCAGCAGCAAGTTGGTACGGTGGATTCTTCGAACAAATGGTTCGTTGTTGCAAAGACAATTCAAGAAAAACCCTGGGAAAGGCAAGAGTTACAACAGATGAGTATGTCTACCATTTTATGTGAAGTAGAAGCATTTGTAAACTCTCGTCCTTTAACTTACATCAACGAAGATCCTTATGATTTAAGTCCGGATTTATTTTTGCATGAATTATGAAATCAGGAACTTCCCGAATTTCAAAATTTGGCCAGGAGAGCGGCTTATTTGTGTGAATTACGCCAGGAATTTAAAAGCGTTTCACCGAAGAATATTAACTTTACTATTAAAGAAGAGTCGCAAAACTACACGACCTTTACAAGTAGGTGAATTAGTATTATGTGAAGATTCGAATAAGAAACGCCAGAATTGGCCTATCGCACGTATAGTGGAAGTATTTACAAGTAAAGATGGTGTGATTCGTACAGCAAAGTTAAAATGCCAAAACGGTTTTATAATTAGGGCTGTTCAAAAACTAAATCCTCTAGAATTAAATATAGATGTTCCTAAAAATGACCAAAAACCCGAGTTTAATCGTAATACGAACAATGAACCATCAAAAATAGATGGTTTAGTTGTAACCAGTAAAGGTAGTATTCGACCTCCCATTTGATATGCGGAATAAGTTTATTTAGTAACATAATTTTAGTTTTAATTTAATTCTAAAATTATATTTATAATGTTTGATTATCTTTTCTGGGGGAGAATGTTACAAATCATTATACCTGATTATAATTTAAGTTGACATAGTAACAATAATAAAAAAAAGTATTGTCAATTTAATGTTTTGAAGGAAAATAAAAATATTAATTTAATCCTTCTTATTAACATTCTTATATTCTATCACTATCCCAACAACTAACGAAAGCGCGATAGAGAGAGTGCTTGCCTCTTAGTTTTCCCCTCTCACTCACCTACAGTATCCGCGCTTAGCCCCAAATACCTTAGTTTGCTCCCCCTCCGTTTTCTAGTTATTGCAAATACAAAATTCCATACTGTTCCCTCAATTTTCAAATTTGACGCATTGCAATGGTGTGCAAATGCCCAATCAAAATTGGGGGGCCAATTTCACACGGATCCTATTCAGACGATTAATGCTGTTGTGAGTTGCCAAATGTGCTTCCCCCGAGAGTTTTCAATGCTGTCCACAGCCTTGAGCAGACCATGAAGAGTTTTTGACGTGCCTTAAGAATAATCCAGTCTTTAAAAATGCCTTTGGGAGTATTGGATCTTTTTTTCAAGGGGTCCAAGGAGACTATCCTGAAGACTTTCGGCGCTTTTAATATTGGCTTCTAGATTTTCCTTAACAACCTTTAAAAATTCTCTCCAAGAGCCTCAAAAAATCTTCCCTAAGTGGTCAGAGCTCTTGAAATTATTTTCTCTCAAAAACCTAGCCTTTAAGAATGTATTCAAGTTCTTAGAGAGTTTGTAAGAACCAAAAATAATAACCTCTCAAGATCCAATAATTAGAAGTTTAAAAGTATTTTGAATCTTTGAGAATCTTTAAAGATTCTCCAAAAATTTCAATAGCCTTTCTTAAGGTTCCACACTTGCGTAATTCAAAACGAGCCTTTAAAACGATCAATGAGATTTTAAACTACTCTACTAAGGCACCACAACGAAAAAATCCCCCCCCCCCCCCCCCCCCCCGATATGAACTTTTTCTTTGGTTTTTAATATAACTCGCAATTGTGGAGAATGACGCGAAGTGCAATATATGAAAGACAGTTTAGACAAAAGTTTGGGATCTCAAGATATTTAAGAAAATCTAAAACTTTCCAAGATAATCTAGAATCAGATGTCTAAAATTGGAAAGGAGGATAAATTGTTGATTTCAGTCCCCCCTCCCCCCAAGGTATCTAAAAAATATTTATGATTTGAGTTCTTTTACACCTCGAATCGCCTAGACTGGAGAGCCCCCCCTTTAAGACTTTCAACAAGCCTCTGGGTTCTGTTTGGAAAAAATTTAAACCGAAAGATTTGTGTGCGGTAATTGTAAAGAGTGGGTTTACCCAAACCTTAGTTAAAATTCCGTGCAGAAGCGAGTTGGTCGTCGGTTGCGTGTGCGCCGGTACCGGATGCACGGTCACTTCGGAATAGGGCGGCGGCTGTTTCATCTCGGATTGCAGCAGGTCCTGGCGTTCCGTTTGGGATAGCTTCGCGAATTGCATGAGGACGTCCTTGAATGACGCCGTCTCGTTCCCGTCGCCCAATTTCGGCGCGCCTTTGCCCTGTTTAATGTACACGGTGTTATCGTGTTTGTAATTCGATCGTATACTAACGTTATCGACGGCGGTGAGCAACAGGCCGAGCTCGCTGTTGTTTTCGATGCCCGATGAGCTCAGGTTCTGTTTCACTTGGGAGCCGGAACCTAGTGAAATTGAGGAAAAGTTCATTACGTTTCCCTGGGTGGTTCTAGCCATTGTGCTATCACCTTGGTTGTTTAGGATGGAACGTATCCGTCTTCCTCGTCGCGGCACCGCCTCAGGATGTCGCTGCCTGTAGTCGGCGATGATCGATTGAACGTCCAAAACGGGTCGCTGCCTGTTTTGGCGTAAATCGCCGGAGTGTCCGTTGATCTCGATGATTGTGCTCGGAAGATTTTTTGAGTTTTTCCTGCCCGTTTCCGTTTTGGATTGGGACGTGGAATATATGACTAGGCCACTGTTGGGATTCGCGAGGTTTTTGAGTTGCTTGGATTCGGCGGAGTGTTCTTCGTTTTCGTGCGGAGGTTCCGGGGAGCCGACACATTCCCATTCCGTCTTGTCGTTTGTCAGCGTCAAGATTTGTTTTCGCCTTTGGAATCGCAAAAGCAATTCTTCCTTGATTTTTTTCAAATGAATAATGTTGTTCCATTCCTTTTCTTTGTCCAGCGCCAGCACGTTGAGGACTCGAATTTCTGATAGAATTTGATCCATTTGCGTTTGAATCTGTTGGAGAGTGGAAGAGGTGGAGTTATCGGTGTACTCGTTCAGGATTTTGTCGCGGATGACGAAATTCTGTTCGATTAATGAGCGTAGGCGTTTCGAGCTGCTCTCTTCGCCGTCAATTTTTCGCTTGGAATTTTCGCTGTCGTTACTGGCTGCATCGTCGGGCAACGAAATAACCTCGTCCTTCGCTTGCTGTAAGCTCTCCGGTTTGGCTTCCAATTTCAGATCGTCATTCGACTTGCTATCCGTCCCATTAATTTGCGCCGATTGTATTTCCTCCGTTCCGTTTTCGTTGTCATTGGGTTCTTCGATTGTGGGACGTTGTTCGGCGTGTCCGGGTGAGGACGGTTGAGCGCTGGGTACGTCCGAACCTTCTCGCACGTCTTCCATTACGTGCATCTTGTTCAGGCTGTAACAACAACAACATTTTACTATAACATCGTGTTTTGTAAATAAAGCGTCTGGTTGGGCGCGGTTTGAACCGAAATAAGATCAAGGCCAAAAGTGTCATTAAATACCAACTGTAAACTATCCGCATTCATTTGTTCGCGCAATTGTCAACGAAAATAACTTTCTCAAGACTAAGTTTCGATTTCCACAATCGCGCGCGGAATACTGATCTTGGGCTATTATAAATGAGTCATGTGGTTGGCACGTGCTTTGGTAGTTTGTCCAGGGTGTGACGTCGTGGGAGGCTTTGCACTTGTGTCCTACAACGATGCAGGTCAGAGACCTAAACGGGTAAATGACCTGCTGAAGCGAGGTGGAAAATGGGGGACAAAGACAAAGCGATTAAGCAAGTCTTGTCACACATACACGACAATTGAAAGTGAAATTTTCGTAAGGCAATAACCTGTCGTTACAATTTCATTTTTTTAAATTCATAATCGTTAGGTTGGTAACGACACGTTCATTTGTTTATTGTTGGCCTACTTTGATATAAACATTAAATAAAATACGATGTGGCGCATTATCGCTATAAACAATACGCAGGAAACGAATTACCCATTGGCTGCGATAAAAAAAATTATAACGGGTGGCTTTACTTTGCACAAAAATGCAACTCTCTGTCCCTAGGGTTTGAAAAATCACGATTTTTTAAAACATTTCCAAATCACCAATTGGCATGCCTAAATTATACTTTTTTCCATCGGAGTTTCGAAATGGCGATCTAATGCCACATTTTTCTACGGGAGTGTAATAGAAACACTTTTCCTGGATACCCACAGTTTCAAAGAAGAGAGATTTCTTCTAAAATGTCTAGATTATTAATAAAGAAGGGGGTCTGCTTTATTAATAATAATTTTCTGAGAAGTTTCCTGGGAATATTTTCAATGAGGATAAGGTATTTGTTCGGATTTTCAAAAGTTAACTTCAGATTCGCGATTTTCATATTCAAAACCCCCAGATACCAAATTTCGTTGAAATCAGAATGTTTTCACACCCCCATTTCCGTGGTAAGAATGTTTTTTTGCAGAATCGGAAAGGTCACACCCCAAAACCTATTGAATGAAGTCCCGTCAGTCTTTGTAACTTATTGTTGCTGAGAACTTTTTGGAGGGTGGCTCCTAAACGAAAGCGTTGCCCCCTCGGTTTATTTGAAAAAGTGCTTTTTTATCCCTTTCGCCGCCCAAAATTGTAACACCCTGTTATTATGCATATCTATAGGTACATTTTTTTTTCCTTTCTGACTTTAAACACAATAATTTCGTACTCTCCTCCTCTTCACTCCTTCTTCGCGGCGTGTTACAGGACGATTCATAAGGCTTCCTCGAAGGCTTCGTATGCTATTTATATTAAAATTCGCATGATACCATGTGAAAAACAAAGCTTTTTTCAAAATAATATACAAGTAATAGGTAAATGAAAAAATTTTACCTTAGATAGCGAGGAATTTCTAAACGAAAATGAGGACTCATAGTTTCAGAAGCAAGGTTTCTATTAAAATGTCTAGATTACTATAATGAAGTACTTAAGACTCCCCTTTTTTGAGAAGTTCTTGGGAATATTTCAAAAAACCGCCCGTAAGAAATTTGAAGCATTTTTGGAAATGCTCTGTATGCATTCCCAAAAATGCTACAAATTTCTTTTTGAAATATTATACCCCCTGAAGAAGAGATAGATCGTCAACATCTCAACATCAAGAAAATTTCAACGATAATCCCCTCGATAATCCCTAAGCAGATTTTTAATCTGTAAAGGAAGGGCCCGAGAAAGTGAAGACGGAGGAAGACATAACGGAGGTAGCAATCAAAGATGAACATTTCTGGGATTTTGAAAGAGAATAAGAAGTAGTTGAATTGGTGGAATCTTGGATAGAAGAGCTGGAGAAAAATGGAAAATGGGACCTGAAAAAACCAAATTCCCGAAGAAGGATAATAAATATGAAAGTCCTCGTGGCAAATCGAAGGGAATTTTTGTGTGGCAGATCCGTATTTTGATTCCACTATCAATAAGATCTTGTAAAAGGCTACCACCACATTCCCTTTGTCGGTACCCATTTCCGACGCTCCGTTCATCCGCAATTCGCGTTTCACGTTTTGACTTAACCCCTCAAAGCAGAATGTTACTGTTTCTGCAGACGTGTCCTCAAACATTCTACAAGTACCATGAGGTGTTGCCACATTATAGAATGCCTCGCAACAAAGTGAACACGCTTTCCGCAGGATGCCATATTCGTCAATGCACATAAAAAGCATTACGAGCTGCAAAATTAAACGTGGCTTATTGGGACCTGCCAACTTCACGCCGGTATACCAACAAACGAAATCCGTTTGGTTTTCTACTTTAATCGATCAATCAGTATTAGTGATCGTTAGTGTCACAAAAAAAGCGTTAGTGCTCAAAGCGCAACAGCTCAGGATGTGAAAATATGAGTTTGCTTTCTGAAAAACTATATAACGATTAAATTAGTGATGTCTTTATTAGCTCTGGTTTCTATTTCTATTTTCATATTTTGCATTTTATAATATGCGGTTCAAAACTTTGGTATGATTTCTTTTTAATATACTAATACTAGTACCTTTAACTCAATAAAATATTTTAAAGAACTAACCACTAACGAGGAGCTTCAGATTCGTATTAAGGCAGGACCACTTTAATAAATGTGGGCTTGCTGCATGACCAACCCATAATTTCACGCTTGAGCTCTTGCGCTTTGAGCACTAACTTTTTTTTTGCGACACTAACGATCACTAATAGTGATAGATCGATTAAAGTAGAAAATCAAACGGATTTCGTTTGTTGGTCTACCGGCGTGAAGTTGGCAGGTCCCGGTCCCAATAAGCCACATTTAATTTTGAGGTGGTTTGGTACCTTTTTGATACGGATCCCTTGCAGCACTAACGTTCGAATGTGAAGCAATAACGAGCCGCTTCAAATTCGCATTAGGACAGAGACAATTTGACAAATGTGGGTTTGCTGCATGAAGTTAGCAGATCCCTTTTACAACGTTTTGAGCTGTTACACTTTGAGCACTAATATTTATATTGGCGGCACTAACGAGCACTAACGCTGCTAGTTTAACTAGTGTAAAGATTGAATCGATTTTCTCAAATGGGTCTGCTGGCATGAAATTAGCAGGCCCACCAATATTTTTTTAAAATAGTAAGTTTCCTTTTGTGCACTAACGATTTCTTCAGCACTAACGATATGAGTAAGCAGAACCATGGTCTGCTGTAGTAGGCCTGCCAAGTTCATGGACATACAAAATAGTACTAAATTTTTGGGACACTTCTCATAACGCGAGCTTCTATTGACGACACAAGAAAGAGACGCCGCGATTTGCGTTCGAAGAAAGTTTTGGGCGCCCAAAGTGAACCATCCCTCGAAGACGGGCGCCCTGAAAAAGGTGGTTAATTTGGCCCCTAGGAAAAAAACAAAATTCCGCCACGCAAGAGTTGTGCGCATTTTCAAGATCTTTTCGCCGACATCAATTTTAAAACAATCGGGCCACTGTAGAAGAAGATAGAAAAAAACCTGAAAAATCACCACACTCGGTGATGGCGCCCAGATGTCGCTGACCCCCATCATGTAGCCAAAGTAAGGTACATGTACACTCCTCTTTCTACAATCCAAAGTGAAATTAAAAGCTCCCTCTTTTAGCAAAAAATGTGCTAAAAAGGAAAGAACATTTTTCTTTGAGAGTACCCTCTTTTGCCACTTCGTTGTAAAGATATTTGCTTCGATTTCACCTCGGACTTCACCAATAGATATATCTCGTCCAGTCGATTTCTTTTGGCTTTGAGGGTTCTTTCCCCCGACAAACCGACAGTTTGCAATATGTGATATGCTTGTCATTACTAGAAGCATCTGTCGTTAAATTAAAATAAGCGATATCTAAATAAAACAGTTGACATTGCGTATGGACCGAAGTGTTGTGAAGATGTGATACGTATGGGGACAGGACAAAGGAAATGTGAGAGTGAGTTTGGAATGGAACGGGGATGGAAGGAATACAAAGAAAGTACCAAAATTGGCATTTGGTCTAAAAAGAACATCAAACTACATAAAAGAAAAAAGGAGAATATAAACCATCTGATCTGGAAAGAACGAGGACAAACAGGAAAGAAACATTGGATGAAGAGATGTCTAATTACCTACGTAAAAGTTCAAGGTTTGAACAATTCTGATCCGTAAAAAAATTCCAGCAAGCATACACAAAATTCAAATGTTTTCCCACGTCCAAAGTCAATCAAATAATTTTTAATTAGCGGGACAGTATAAAAGTAATTGTATAAATTTATAAATTCACTTCTCTCCGCATAGGCTCCGAGGCGAAAGGGTCCTTCCTTGGTAAACGTGTTAACATCAGTAAGTAAATGTTTGTAGGTTCATAAAGTTAGCAACGAAAATTTCCAGCTCATTGCCGGCATGCGTATAACCAAAGCGGACCCTCCGGAAAAAGTTAGCAACGAACCATGGACCCATCTATTAAAACAACGTTTTCGGCAAGGTTTTCGATTAGCCCACTTCACCCATTATATTGGATGAAATTTGCATCGATACCTATTGGTCGGTAAATAAAAACGTTATCAACAAGCGCATTTTTCTGTAAGGACACAGATTCTCACTTGCCACGGAAAATCGAATGCAGCATTGAAATTCCGTATGAAACATTTTTATAATTATTGGCACATTCCTAACATTTCCAAATTTGTTTATATATTTGCAACATTTTTCAAAGTTAGAAGTAAAATAAACAAAACCTCTAAATCCCTAAACGTTTTGAAAATTTCCTTCCCACTGATTTCCAATTCCAGAAGCATTTTCTCAAAAGCATTTTGAAACATTGAAGTACTTCTAAGATTCCTGAACATTTCCAACATTTGAGCGCATTTTCTAAACTTATTTGAAGCTAAAGAAGATACGAAGAATCGCATACGATTTTCAGTAGGGGAATTTTTTGCCACTCAGCTAGCATCCGGAAATCCGACTTTTAATCCGGCTCATATTCAATAGCACGGATCCTTGAACTCGTAGAAATTGATTGGCGAGTTAGGCGAGGACAGACAGACGGACGAAACAATCACAAGGGGACTTTTTTTCTTTAGGAAATTCCCCTAAAAAGTACCGACATGGGTACCGATATGGATGCAAATTTAATTCAGTATAACATACGACATGGGCTATCCGAAATGGAATTTCCACGTTATTCTTATCGTTATCATCGTTCGTTCCTTCCTTTATGAAACTAATGGTTGCTCCTTAGAGTGTCGATTATGTCGAACTCGCCTGCACGGCGCAAACCTATTATTTCGGATACGTGCATAAATGAGAGGAAAATCATAGGAAACTCACTCTCGAGGAAGTCCGCCTGAAGCACGTTCGATCGCCTGCGAGTTTGGTACCAGTCCAACGGCGAGCAATACCGCAATTTTGCTCTCGACGGTTGGGGTTTCCTCCGGCAGCGAGGTATAAGGTAGATTAATCTCAGGCAACGCGCCCTTCTTCAGCCTACTGCGTATGGGCAGCCCTAATAGTTCGTGCTGCACATCCCTCTCATAGCTCGAACCTCTAAAATGCAGCGAACACACTCGAGCGGTCGCGCAGTTATGCACCAAACGACCGCACGCCTTCAGCCAATGGGAGCGTATCGTCGGGTCGCCCGGAAAGCGGTGATATCGTACAGAGCCACCTTTAGTTTTTCGATGCGTATTATTGCAATTCGCAACGGCACACTGTGGCATGATCGAGCATCACGCTTCCTTCACATCGTTTTTAAACGCCCTGTAGACTAAATGACGTCAGTCGGTGAGTGTACCAAATCAAGGACTACCGGCTTGGTAATTGCACTTACGGACGGCGCCGCGTAAACTTTCCACTTCGACCGATAACGCGCACTTAAAAACCTTCAATTGTTTACCCAATTAATTGCGTAATAAGGTGTGCAACTGGTTAAAAACACAAGAGGACGCGAACTGAGTCACAGAGCGGGGCCCCGATGCTACATTCCCCTTCCAATTCTAATCTGTGCACCGGTGACGTCACGAGCGTCTCCGTTCTTTAACCATTGATCCCGTATTTTCGCTCGCACCCACGAGGAGAAAAACGTGGGAAGATGCAACGCGCAAATCGGTCACTTCCGTGTTCCGTTAATTGGGAACTGGCCGGCTCTTTGAGAATCGCGCTGCCCACGAGAGAAATGAGCCCGAAGGATGAATAGAAGACGCAAGGGGCGAGGCAGGTAATGGCTGGCTACAGCAGGAATGGTGTATTTATATATTGATCGAGATGAGGACGTGGTCCCAGACTGCGGCGAATTCGTGAGTCATCGACCCTTAATTGCGAATGGACAGATCTTGTCAATACGCACTTTGGATTTCGTCGGTTACGCGCGACGCTGGAAATGTGTCACTTTGCATACAAACGTGAGAAACGCCGGTGAAAAAAAAAAGATGGCAGCGAATTATTGCGTCTAGCGAAAGTCTTTTGACTTGACCTCAATTTTTTATCTAAGCCTTTAAAGATTATTTTGGTTACGCTTAATGAGGTGGCGCGTTGGCCACCCAAGATTAGGTAATAGAAGGGAAGTGGCGTGGTGCAGAAAAATCGCGGAGGGAAACCGCGCGAAACTTGGCAGGAAAGAGAATTCCGAAGAAACTCGGTACCACTTTTGCCATATTAATCACCCTTAGCTGAGTTATGTACTTATTAATTAATTGGTATTAAACAGTTAGGAGTGAGCCAGAGCTGGGCAGTATTCGATTTTGTAAATACTTTTTAGTATGCAAATACTTTGTAATTAAATACTTTTATGGAAGCAGTATTTGTATTTGTAACTCAAATACTTTCACAAATATTTAGTATTCGAATACTTCGCAAAGTATTTGGATACTTCGTAAAGTATTCGAATACTTCGCATAGTATTTGAATACTTAACCTTCCTTTTTTACCAAAAATCGACTGCACCAAAATTTCTCGGGAAAACACTTTTTCTTATTAATTTTGGTGCGAAGAATCCAAAACAATTCGTACTTTTTCGATCAGACTTCTCAATCAAAAGTTATAGACTAGAAACCAATTTCGAAAAAAAATTCAAAGGGCTGTAACTTTTGAACCAGTAGCCCAATCTTGGAACTGTTTGAAATTATGGATTCTACAGGCCACATTCTATAAGAAAATTTTTTTCCGGGTAGATCTGAGACAATTTTTTTGCGGGCCTCAAAAAAAGGCAGTGTATAACCTTCCTTTTTTACCAAAAATCGACTGCACCAAAATTTCTCGGGGAAACACTTTTTCTTATTAATTTTGGTGCGTAGAATCCAAAACAATTCGTACTTTTTCGATCAGACTTCTCAATCAAAAGTTATAGACTAGAAACCAATTTCGAAAAAAAATTCAAAGGGCTGTAACCTTTGAACTAGTAGCCCAATCTTGGAACTGTTTGAAATTATGGATTCTACAGGCCACATTCTATAAGAAAATTTTTTTTCCGGGTCGATCTGAGACAATTTTTTTTTGGGGCTCAAAAAAAGGCAGTGTATAACCTTCCTTTTTTACCAAAAATCGACTGCACCAAAATTTCTCGGGAAAACACTTTTTCTTATTAATTTTTGTGCGTAGAATCCAAAACAATTCGTACTTTTTCGATCAGACTTCTCAATCAAAAGTTATAGACTAGAAACCAATTTCGAAAGAAAATTCAAAGGGGTTTTGAATATATTTGAGTGACAAGTATTCAAATACTTTTCAAAGTATTCGAATACTTTTTATAGTATTCGAATACCTTTGAAAGTATTCGAATACATTCTAAAGTATTTGAATACTTATTTTTTTAAGTATTTGAATACTTTTCAATGTATCTGTATCTAGTATTCGCTTGTGCTGGACGTAAAAGTATTTAGTATTCAAATACTTTTTTAAAGTATTCTGCCCAGCTCTGGGAGTGACCCGTGTGAAATTAGCAATAACCAGGCAGCAATGGCTTTTGCACATTTTTTGTGAAGCTAGCAATAACAATATAGCCACAGATATGCAAACGAATGGATAAATTAATGCTATTTAGGGGCGTTTGCACACTAATTACATCAAACGTTGCAATTGCTACAGATCTCATCCCTTAAATTAGCCACGTTTTTTTCTTTATATCTCCTGCAGTTTTTGAGATAATTCGCTCAAATTTGAAACATAAGTTAAACTCTGGAAAGGCTTACATCATTGATCATGTCAATGGTAGTGAGAATCTACAGGGTGACGTTTTTTTCAGGGATCATGTTCCATTTTCTAGCCCTGATGTTTTTTTCGGTGCGCCACTGGTAGATTGAGAAACTAAATAATGCTTGAAGATATTGTAAAATAAACTTAATTACGTGATTTAATTATGTAATATTAATTACTAATGAATTCTTGTACACAAATTTATAACAAGTAAATTTATCACATTTGAACGCGAACTTCCACAATTAACACTTCGGCATCGATCCAATATGCGAACAAACTGATTCATAAATTGCTATTATTATTACTCATTTTGGAACTGCGATTAAATACGCCTCAATTTGCTCATAATAGCAAATGGATAAAGCGTTTAGAAAAAATTATGGAATATTCTCGACGAGTGTAGAAGGCATATCATATTTCAAAGAAGGAATCCGTGGCATCCGCTTTCATTCCTTATCGCCGTACTTTTATCAACCTGATGGCATCTGCCGGCGTCTTGATGTCTGAGATACTGGTTTCAATATTTTTCGAGCAGATTTATAAAAGGATCAAGAAATGGATTCAGAATCAGTTCGGGCGAGACTTTGGGTATCGCTAAGGAGATTTCTAAGCATTCTAGAAGTACCTATACCCATTTACTTGACCAGAAAATTCGGACTAGGCACCGACCATGCACTAATTTGTGCCATTGCAAAAAATTTTAGTTCTGGTACTTACTCTCTATCAGAGAGCGCACAATGAACGCTTCAAAGCGCATAGTGACCGTATACCTGACCCAATTTTGAGTCAGTCATAGATAATAATTTTGTGTACAAGGCCTTAATTAAGCGCCAATTATGCGAATTGAAAGTACTAGCTACTAAATTGGAGTTATCACCTCCTTCAAGGCCGGTATCTCGGTACTTTAAGATGTATACCGTGCAAGCACACAGCAGCACTACCACCCGTTCCTGTAAATGGGTAAATCTAACACCAGATGTGGGTAAAGCACTACATTGACGGCTTCCAATCTTACCTGAAGTTCTGTTCATTCAAATTTTCTTTAAATTCTCCTTTTGCAACTATCTTCCTACCTCGCTTCCCGTTTTGGCCCAAATCAAGTTTCATCATGAACTCCACCTTGCCCTTCTCACAGAGGGCGTCCATCTTCAAGTTACCCGACGACTTGAGCGACAACTTTTGCGCGATTCGCATGCTCGATCGGCACGACAGATGCTCGGCCTTGCTAGGCAAATGCCTATCGGGCACCGCGTCGCGTTTCAGTCTCTTCCTCAAAGGCAAATCGAGCAGTTCGTGCTGCAGGTCCCTTCGGTAGGACGTCGGCGAGAAATGATCGCTGCACACACGCGAATACTGAGGACGTTTGACGCTCTTCCCGTGCCCGCACAGCGACGTCCATTTCGAAGCCAGACTTGGGGAAGACGGAAACATGTGGTAGACGACTTTGGAAGTCGCCGCGCGAGTCTTCCCGTGGTAATTGCGGCACGTCGTCACAAAACACTGCGGCATTGTTTCTTGACTATTTATATACATTGTGCATGGTAAACTGATGTAACTAGCGGAAAGAAGTCGTACTGCGCCACCCTCTCTGGTAATAATATCATCCCCCTTTCATCCAATGGGGGGATGGCGTGATGGTCGAATTTCGAGTGCACGGGGTCACCCCTACACGAACTCATCTCATCTTATGTTATATTGATTATTGTTTAACCCGTGAGAAATGACGTCTGCGTTTTATACAGGGGCGTCCAGTAAGACTTCGAGTAAGACATACTACTCGTACATTAACCAAACAGAAACAAAATGGAAAAATGAAATAGATCTGAAGAACAAATGTAGAAATAATTAATAAAGAATTAGGAAAATACAAAAAAATTTAGAAAACAAAAAATTTAAAGAATGTGGAAGGCAAAAATGTAAAAAGGTATAAATCATTAAAAAAATGTAAATAAAGTAGAAAATGTTTAATGAAACAATATAGAAAAAGTGTAAGAAATTTAGAAAAATATTGTAATATTAAAAGGATTTTAAGAATCTCTGGGGAGCTGTAAGAGTTTTCCAAAACATTTAAGAGCTTTTAAAGGCCGCATCTCTAAAGGTATTTAATGACATTTCAGTCTTTAATTTAATTTAAGAATATTTAAGGGTGTAACAAAGATCCTAAAGATTCTTTTTGTAAAAGCCGAGCTATTAAGAGGTTTTGTGAACGAACCTTTGAGAGCTTTTAAGTAATTTAAAAATACTTAAACGGTTAAACAACGTATTTTGGCAGCACATTTTTTAAATAATTTCCAAAGAGAGAGAGAGAGAGAGAGCATTTATTTCAACCACGAGTAACTGTCACACAATAACAACATAAAAAAAAAACACAATAAAGTACAATAAATAATATAAATGTATCTATAAAAAAGAAATGTAAATAGGTGTATATATTAAAATTTTTTTTTTTTAAATATGACTACCATTTTTTGATATTCGTAAAGAAATCATCCAGTGTGTATAGCACCATTGACTGAAGAATTTTTCTAATTTGGTTTTTAAAAGGAGCCAACATTGTAATACATTTGACATGTGCCGGAAGGACATTATAAAATCTCACCCCCATCTGTAGGTAGGACGAGATATGCACCTTACTTTTTGATCTCATTATAGAAAAGTTATTTTTAGTTCTCGTATTATATGAGTGGTTATCACAATTTAATGAAAATAATTTTTTGTTTTTGAACACGAAACATAAACATTCAAGCACATATAATGAATAGACGGTTGCAATCTGAAAGTTTTTAAAATACGGTTTGCAGGATTCCCGTTTCTGTAGCGGAAACAATACCCTGTTTGCTCTTTTTTGAACCTTAAATATGCTAGCAATTCTATGACTAGTAGCAGTTTCCCATAATGAGATACGGTATCGCACCTTACTTTTTTATATTAATAGTAGATTTGCAAAAGGGTTTTATGGTCACATAAATTTTTACAACGGGACAATGAGAAAATCGATGAATGTAATTTTGCTTTCAGATGGTCAATGTGATCTTTCCAACTAAGTTCTGTGTCTATAATAACTCCTACGAAGGTACAGGATTGACACCTTTCTAATTGAACTGACTGGTAACGCAGTGGAGCGATATCCAAACCCATATTTTTCGTATAAAGAAGAATTTTTGTTTTTTCCAAATTAACTAAAAGTTTATTTGCATTAAACCAATTAATAAGAGTTGATAACGCACGATTTAAATTAATTTCTAACTCTTCTTCAACACAAGCCACACTCACACTAGTGTCATCTGCATATGTGGTGATATCACATGAAGATGGATCGAAGCAGTTAATTTTTATTAATGACCTACATTAATAAAAATTATAAATAATATAGGACCAAGGATAGATCCTTGGGGTACTCCATACTTGATTGGTTTTAATTCGGATGCAACTTCAATAATTTGTCCCGAGGAAGAAAAAAAGCTTGTAGTACATTTATTAGATTTAATAATAGTGTAGCGAACAATCCAGAAATCTCAATAGACATACAGGCACCATGAAAGATTAGTAATCGGTGACTAAGAATGAAGTCGGATGTAATGTAATCTTTCCGAGAAATATGACGTGTTTGTTCGAGAAAATTTGTAGCGTCTTTGAGCACTCGAGCACATTCTAGGGAAAATGTTGTTTGCTATACCTATAGGCAAATCGAATTGTGTTTCGAGCGACTTCCAACATCGATGCGTTCTTGTTATGTTATAAATAGTGAGCGATAAATTGTATTTACTGTTTTAAATTAATCCATTTTAAGACTATTGTAAATTTATTGTTAATTAATTGTAAATAAATTAACGAATCTCTATGTCGTGTGGTTTCCGAGATCCCAATGCTCCGCGTCGCTTCGGTGCAGCGCGCTCTATGTGCGTATAGGCACGGAAATGCGGCCGGCTCTAGTGAGCGACACCCTTTAGCCTTATTAATTTAGTCATTATAGTCACTAACACCTTTTTCGTTCGGAAACCTGAACACCAAAGTACTTAGATCATATATATTTCATAGAATAAGCCTACAGTCACTAAATTTGTGTCAAAATGTCAGAGAGATAGCCAACAGTAGAATACCGACCATGCGCACTGTGTCCACATTCCCAGTAATTCACTGGCGTGTTTTTTTCCTGAGGGGTTTACTGTGTTGCAGTTCACACCAAGCGCATTTGCAATTCTGACTGGTCTTGTGTATTAACGAATGTGTTTCAAAACTGGATTTGTGCTTGGTGACTAAATCACACCGGTCACATTTTAAATCCTTGGCAGGTCCATGTCTTATGCCTTAACAAAAAGCGCAATGGACAGGACACACTTTAATCGTTGGTGATCTTGTACGTTATTAAATGTTAAATTGCATAGTCACACTGGACACATTTTACATTCTTGGTAGTCTCGTGTGTTAAAATGCTATTGCGCATGTGCGGTGTTCTACTTACGCTGCAAAGTATATCTCTACCTTTGTTAGGTATGTTGGCACATATGCTCCTTATTGAAAGTAGATGGGAGGCTATGTCTATGTATCCTCACCATAGGATGCACCTTGTCGTGGTGATGGGGCTTAGTAGTTACGATTTCGTGGCGAACCCAAGCATCTAGGCGGGTAATTATTAGACTCATCGAAAAGTTTGGTACGTGCTACCCAATCTAGTTCAAATAATGTCGTACCATTCAAATGCTTCATGGAGTAGAGAAATCCAAAAGGGTTCTCGACGATCGCTCATTAAACGTAGCACAATTTTCACGTACGTTGACTCCTGAGGTGTGCGGTAGACGACATTTGGACAACTTCTGATTCTAGGCTTTCTGGTAAAAGGTCCAATGTCATTTGGAGTAGGTCTCGAGAAATCGAACTCGACCATGACTTGTTAAAGGTGATAAAGGAAACTTTATCAACACTCAGGCAAGTGGGGGGCTCCAGGAGCTGACCACCCCTGCCCACTTGGTTGGGTTGGGGTTATGAAATTAGCTTGAAAGTGGGAAAAAAGGAAATAAAATGTGCGATCTATTGGCGAAGGTTTCATTTCGCCGTTTCTTTTCGTTCTCGAGTTAGACGAGGAACGGACGGACAAAATCATCACATAAGGGGAATTTTTTTCTTCGGAAAAATTCCCCTAAAAACAAACTAAAGTGCGGTAATTTTTCTTTGAAAAGGCACAATCTAGTGCCCTCTAACTTCACGGTTTTTTATAATCGACTAATGGGGAGAACAGTAGGGCCCGAAAATGCACAGCCTTCGGCACCTCGTCTGCTCCGTTTGGATTAATTCTGCTGCGGAGGAGAAAAAATAGCCAAGACGCCACAAAAAACCACCATTTGGGCGGCGCACAGACAATTTGATGCTCTGCAAAGAGTTACTTTACATCACGCATAATTGGCGCACAAGACATAAAAATCAGTTTGTGGTGCCATTTTTATCAAGAGTGCTTTTCCTCCTTTTTTTTTCTAACTTCTATTCTTGTACGATTTTACGTCACGCGGCGTCAGACGACTGATTGCATCACGAGTCACGACACGAAAGTGGGTCATGAATGATTTCGTTTGTTTTGGTGAAGCATTTAAACAATTGGCGACATTTTGTTTTGACCTATTTAAGGTTAGAGAATGACAAACTGACCTTGAGTTAATCAAAACCGTTTCGCAACACAGTAAATAACACTCACCATCGAATGCTTCGCTTCTTCAGCGCGTTGACAAGCGAATTGCGACGGAATCTCTTATAGTCGGCGATCGCCTTTTCGTCCCTAACGTTTTCGCCGCCGTCGCCGCCATTCAGATTACATTCGCCCAAAACGTTATCGTCCAAATCGAGGACGTTCTCGCGCTTAAACTCGATTTCCTCATCGTCCACCTGGGACAGTACCAAATCCTCACTAAATTCGTCTTTAATCTCTCCCGCCAAAAAATGCTCGACAGCGTCCTCTTGCGCGAAAACGTCCATAACGCGTGTCGCCAACGGTTTGCTCATTTGCTAAATACCGAGAAAAAGACGAATTATCCGGTCACAGGCACATAGTTCCCTCAGATTTGTTTATGGCGAAACGAATCGAACGTGAATTGTCGACGTGCCTATTCGCGCAATTTTTTCTTACACTCTCGCCACTTCTTTAAATGGCAGTACGCGACTACGCATTGAGGCCTTTACGAAAACACTTTTTTTAGCGTTACCGACGGTTCGTTTTAATTGTTTTGCGTGTAAAACTAATCGCACGTCGCAAACAAACTGACCTAAATGTATTGATCATTTTCGCTGTAAAGCAGTTCCCTGTTGCGGACTGGGTCGCCTCGAGCGCGCCTCGCTTCGAAACGAGTACGTAGCGTCCTCCGGCGGACGTTCGCGGAGTTTCCGAGGTTAAGCGAGGGTTATTCAAAATTTTTAACTTGGAGACGGCGGTGACCTTGACAACGAGACTTTACAAATAAAAATTCATAAGATTGTATCTCTTCGGTGCTTCGACGACGCGTGGAGTTATGCGGGAGGGAAAGTGGCTTTAAGGGCGACTGTCGCGTGCTTGCGCTTTGTTTTTAGTTCTGCTTCTGAGGGCTGACAAAACGCTTATTGATATTTATATTAGGTATTGAAGGGTGAGGTTGCGCGCTTTGGTAATTGCTTGTTGAGATTTAAATTGTTATGTCTGCAGTCTACGCGCTCGCTTTATGAATTATTTATACCATTATCCCTTCAGGTCGTTGGTGTATTCTCTTTGGGAATCGTTTCCATTTATTTAGACCGTGCTGTACCGGAAACAGGCAAAGTAAATAGAGATTATATAATGAATGAGTCGCATTCATTTTGGGATTAAATA